GTCATGTGCTTGGAATACACTGTCTTTGAAAAGACATTCTCTTGCTATATCTTTTCTGCAGAGAAGCTGCTGGTGATGGTGATGGCGATGGATGGGCCATAAATGCAGCAATCGAAGCAATCAAACGGCTAGTGGAAATTGAACAAGCATCTTCTCTTCTTGATCAGGAAATTCCTGGTGCTGTAATGGACGAGCTCCAGGAAAGTCATACCGAGCTAATCAGTGAACCAATCAACGATGATGGGCAAAGTTCTTCAGATGAATCCTCCCGAGTGGTCACTGCAGATATGTTAGATGATGCAATGGACAGAACGAGAATAACAGCAAACACGGAGCTAAGCAGTCAGCATTTGGAAGCAGCCTCAGATCATTGGACACCCTCGATAGGGTCTTCGCCAGATGTAGAAGAAGTGATTGGCTACGAGAATGAAGAAGCATATGAAAGGTTTGAGTTTAACGAGGATGCAAGCTTCAAGCAAGTTATGCCGACTGCCAGCCCATCTGCTAAAGCTCCAGAGAAGACAGGGAGGTTTCAGGGAGAGGGACGATTGAGCCGACGCACGAGGGCTGGCAAAGGTTTCATCGGTGAGCTGGGGAGTGATGAACTAGAAGCAGAGTCACCCTGAACATTTACATAAGTTTGAGGCGGGTTTGATTTGTACCATGAGCTGCGTGCACTTTAAAATGATGGATGACCCACTAACCAATGCTGCTTCCCCAAAATCACCAATCATCACCATTAGATTTTTGTCATGAATTATTTTGATAATGACTATGAATGGTTACTTTCAATGTTGTTGTAAACATAAAGATGCAGATTTTTTTTTTTTTTTTTGGTAACACTGATGATGCAGGTTTTTTTTTTGGAAAGTCTGATGATGCAGATCTTTGTTTTGAGGGACAGACGAAATATTTGCTCCGAAGAATTAGGAGCGGCGGAAGCTTTCACGAAAGGCGTCCCTTGGCTTCCCAATCCGACTGGGCACTGCTTTCACCAAGATATTCTTAATTATTTTTAATCATAAAAAATGTTGGAAAGAAAGCGGAAATCAAAAGTATTGAATAACACTGGTTCCATGAACAAAATGTAAATTGGCGCGAAGTGTATAAAATGGCAAAAAATAACAATAGAAGATTGAGCAGGGAATCTGGCCGGAGAGGACTGTACCTGGATCTCAAAATCAAACCGACATAATGTGGAGGATCGACTAATTTGGCATGGTACGGTCGATGAGCTTTATATTGTTAAATCGGCTTATCATTTGGCAGCTTTTTTTTAATAAGAAAGAGGGTCTCTGGCGATCAGAAGCTAGTTGGATAGATAGATCCAGTTGGATTAGGTTGTGGGAGGCTCCTATCCCGCCTAAACTAAAAAAAAAATCTGTGGCAAATCTTCAATCGTCTACTTCCCACGACGGAAGCTCTTCTCGAGAAGGATGTTCATGTCCATCCCCGATGTCCAGTTTGCTGGGCGGAATCGGAAACCTTGGAACATTTGTTTCTTGACTGCCCAGTGGCCATGGCTCTTTGGGACTATGCGGGTCTGGAGTATCTTGGCCAAGGATTGTCGCGCCATACTTTCCTTTTATTCCTCAAAATATTGATGATGCTCCTTCACCAACCTCAGTTGATTGATGATCCCCCTTTGGCGGATATGGCTATCACGTAACTGGGTTGTCTTTGAAGGCAAGCAGTTTGGTTTTCCAGCTTTAATGCGCCAATTCCACCAACAATATTAGGAATGGGTAAATTTGCATGTGACCCGGCCTCCGGGGGGAGTAGTCCTGCCGGCTAAACCAATGGAGGGTGCTCACCCTTCCTCGATAGTCTGTAAATGGGATGGGGCTACCAAGCTTGCATCCCACTCATTTGGGGGAATGGTTATCCTAAATCAGGCTAGGGAGGTTCTCCTAACTAGGGGGGTCCAGTTTCTAGGAATTGATGATTCTCTGACTGCGGAGATGTTGTCCCTCCGTGAGGCGATTCTCTGGTGCCTTGCGTAAGGTTTTACGGAAGTCCGATTTGACGGGGATGCAAAGGTGATTATTGATAAAGTCAATCGATCAGACACCTGGGATAGTCGAATTGGAGCTCTTCTGGAGGAGGTTGTGCGGTACTTAGATGCTCATAGTGGCCTTAATGTGTGGTTTGTAGGTCGGCGTAATAATAGGGTAGCCCACTTGATGATTAGAAAGACCCTTCAATTAGACCCGACTGCGAGTCGTTTATTTGATTTCTTGGACTGGTTAACTCCAACATGTAACTATCTTTTTTTTTTTTTTTGTAATAACCGGGGCTAGAAGGCGCCCCAACCTTAATCATTAACAACCAACCGGGGTGTCTGGACCCCTACCAAATCAAAGAACAGCCAGTAGTTTTGTGTCGAACTAGGTGTCGTAAAGACGTGCACTCCTGGGGGTAGACTATGACCCAAGGAAGCCAAATAATCTGCTACCATATTTCCCTCCCTGTACACATGCATGACCTTTACCTCCCACGCTAGTGCGAGGAGCAGCCGAGCTTCACGAATCAAACCTGCAAGATGATGTCTGTCACCCGCTACACGGATGAGCTCAAGCACCGCCATCGAGTCCGTCTGCATCACTAGCTTCCGGATACCCAGCTCCCAAGCTATACGAAGGCCATGTACCAAACCTGCAAGCTCCGCCCTTGTAATGGAGCTATCTCCCATGTTGGCGGAGAAAGCCCCGAGGAATCTCGCGTCCTCACCCCGCACCACGCCTCCTGTCGCTGCATTCCCTCCCAATACGGAGCCGTCTGTATTCACGCAAGCCCATCCCGGCGGTGGAGGTTGCCACGCTATGAGTCTCTGAGTGTACTCCCTTCCTTGTCCAAAGAGCTGCGACACCTTGGTTGAGGCCACTTGAATCTGCTGCAGAGGGTATACACACTGGTACAAAGCCTATGTGTGTTCATCAAGCCTGTGCTCGAAGACTCGTTTGTTCCGGTGTTTCCAAAGTGCCCAACACGTAACCGCAAATTTTGTGGGATCAATGACAAGACTTCTACTTGTATTATAATGCAGGGACCACTTCATTAAGTCCTCCTCGAAGAAGACATCATCAGGCTTGTCCTGCAAAATTTCGACCAGGCCGCCCTCGAGTAGGAGCAGTCTCGGATAACATGAAAAGTAGACTCCCCTTTGGCTCCGCAAACTGGGCAATTATTGGTCGAGGCGAGGTGCCTCCTCTATCTCTCGCAGTTTGTTAGCAAACCTGCGGTGGGCTACTAGCCAGAAAAATGTTCGAATTCGTTGAGTAGCCGGGATCCTCCAAATAGCTTGCCATATCGGGTGGTTCCCGCCGGGCTGTTCCGCATCATCCGTGATTTCATACGTTGTCTTCAGGGAAAAGCATCCGGTGGGAGTAAAGCGCCACACCGGGATGTCCTCTTCTTGCTCCTGCGGGATAGGGTGTAACCTGATTTGCATGACAATATCCTCGGGCAGAAAATTCTGGATATAGGGAATGTTCCAGTCCCCATTCAATACCATCTCCGCCACCGACAGTGTGAGAGCCTCTTGCGGGAGGTTAGCTGCCAGCTCAGCTAGAATGGGTCCATCATGTAACCAATGATCCGCCCAAAATCTTACTTGTCTCTCGTAGCGAACGTTCCAAATGGTGGCCTCTGGCAGAAGGTGGAGGACTCTAATGACCCCTCGCCATAGATTCGACAGCCGCCCACTTGTTCTCGGCTGCCAACCATCCTCCGTACGTCTCAAGTACTTTGCCCGAACTACTTGTGCCCATAAGCTCTCATGCTCAGTCTGCAGTCTCCAGGCTATCTTCAACATAAAGGCTTCATTCATTCGAGTTGCATTCCTGAGACCGAGCCCACCTCCCTCCTTGGGGCGACAAATCGTCTCCCAATCTACTAGATGAATCTTTCTCCCTGCTTTCGAGCTTCCCCAGATGAAAACCACGAATTGTTTTTGTCAATGTACTCTCTCACACATGTCGGTAGCAACGTCGTTTGCGTGATGTAGGCCGGTAGCGAGGCCAAAACTGACTGGACTAGGGTGATTCTACCTGCAAGTGACAGTGAGGCAACCTTCCATCCTGCAAGGCGGGAGTCCACTCTATCAATCAAATCCTTGAACATGGCCTTTGATACCCGATCATGGATAACAGGAACACCCAGATATCGACCAAGGTTCTTCGTTTCAGGGATATCCAGAGCTGCACTAATCTCTGCTCCTCGTGCTGCCAGTACATTCTTTGAGAAGAAGACTCTGGATTTGGGTTTGCTAACCTGCTGTCCCGACGCTGCGACAAACTCTTCCAAGCACAGAGTTATCACTGCGACCTGTGCCATAGTAGCCTCCCCGAATAGGATTAGATCATCTGCAAAAAAGAGGTGTGAGAGTGGGGGACCATGCTGAGACAATCGAATCGGCTTCCACGTTTGATCCGCCACTGCCGCTTTAATCCGATGACTTAGTCTCTCCATACAAAGAGTAAACAAGTACGAGGAGAGTGGGCAGCCCTGTCTAAGTCCTCTAGTTGGCTCGAAGCTGTCAGCCACGCCACCGTTCCACTGAATTTGCATGCTCGGTGAGGTGATGCAGTGCATTGCCAGATCTATGAGACCCGGTGCAGTACCCGCGGCTGTCAGTGTGTCTCGGACAAAAGACCACTTGATACGATCATATGCCTTTGCCAAGTCAATCTTCAGAACCATCCAGCCCAGCCGACCTGATTTAGCCGTCATCGAGTGCACGACTTCCTGCAAAATACAAATGTTGTCAGTTATGTGTCTTCCAGGTACAAAGCTTGTTTGGGTCGTGTCCACTAGTCTGGGCATCAGTGTCTTCAATCTCTCCGCCAGGCAGTTAGTTATGATCTTATAGGTGACATTGCATAGGCTTATGGCCTAAATTGCTCAATTAACAATGGTTTTGGGATCTTCGGGATCATCACTAGAATTATGGCATTAACCGTCTTCACCTGTTCTGGATCAACCCAACATTTTTGCACAAACTTGACCACCTCGGGCCCCACAATTGACCAGCATTTCTGGATGAACAAGGGGTTCAGCCCATCCCTTCATGAAGCTTTTCTGATCAATACATATCGATTATCTTTTGTAAAAAAAAAAAAAAAAAAAAAAAGCAAAGTGGGAACTACATATAACATATTACATAACCCTCCCGCCCAGCTTCAATTCCCACGTGGGCGCATCTCGGCCAATATCGATCACCTGAAAACCTCGCCACATTGGAGCGGCGAGAGGCGATACCGCTTGCGTTCTTCTGTTCCCCAATGACACCACGAGCAGTTTTCATTTCGCTACAGTAGTCGTTCACAGTGTTAATAGCGGGTGAGAATATTATTGGAAGGACAATGAATCTAGGATTCCTTCATCTCCAGAAGCTCGCCCTCGAACTCAAATGCCCTCTCTGGTTAGCCCCTCCAAAGCTCGCTCTTTTCCGCCTTTGTATTCTCCAAAGCTTGCTCCTTTTCCCCTCCTGATCTCACTCGACTCCTTTGCTGTTCCCGGCATTGGCTTATGGATGGTAATACCATGGTGGGATATTCCTCCGCGGAAACCCTAATGTGGTTGTGGGAATTCTCCTGTTTTTTTTTTTTTTTTCTTTTGGGGGGTTTTCAGGATGTGGATTTGAGTTTGACTAATATTATCGTGCTTAACTCGTTCCTGCAGCTTAAACTTTCTGAAGAAACCACATATACTGCCATGTGATCACATTTTCTGCGGGTAATCTTTCCTTCCGTGGTGATTGCTTTTGGATGGCTTTCTCTGTTGACTTGCAATTGTTTGACTTGGATCTATCAAATGTATTGCAGGTCGTGCCTACCCAAATCCAAACAGCTGGGTCCAGAATGCCCTTACTGTAAGGTTCCCTGCGCTGATGAAGGTATGCATCCATTTGCTTTCCATGTCCGTTTCAATTTGGGGGGAACTAATCAAAGCCATTCCTTTTGGACTTCGGTCCATCTTTAGAAACTGAATGAGAAAGAAGCTTGCTTTGCTAATATGAAAATTGTGTGGTAGAGAATGAGTTTAGCTTTCAGGGGGTAAAAAAAATCCTTATGTTTGGTTGCAGATAGTAGGCACCTGCCCTTCATCGAGAACCTTGTGACGATCTACAAAGGACTGGATGCAGCTTTTCATGCCACTGCAGTGCAGTCGGTTGGTTCTGGTATGGCCTCTCTTCCATTGATTATAGTGTAATTGTCAATGACCTTGCTCAGCCTTTCCTTGTGTGGCTGAAATCATCTGCAACTTTCTTTCGCCTTCATCAAGGTCCCCAGGGTTTAGGCAGCAAAGATGAATCTCTGAAAGCTAGCTTCAACCACAGCATTCAAGTGAGAAATTGCTCATTTTCACCAATGAGCAAGACATCCGATCCTGTTCCATCAACTCCTGTTGGAAGTGTGGGTAAAGAGAAAGGCATGTCAGATAAATGTAGTTTGCCTAGGGGCTTAAAAGATAACAACGAAAATGTGGTCGAGGATGGTGGGCGCAAAGATAAACCAAATGCCCAGTCTCCGCTGGTAGATTCTCAGACAGGCACTCAGTCGTTGAAAGAGTATGGAACTAGGACTCATGTAGACCAGTTGTCACTTGGTAGTCCTTCATTTGGTGACCTCAAGGTTTCTGATGATGGTAGTAATGATCAAGGTGGTAATGATGTAAGGTTTCTTAATCCACTTCACTTTGTTACCTCACGAGAGATCCTACTGTTTTATTTTTAGATTTTGTGAAAAATGAGTTCTAGTTAGTTGGATTCTTATAGTTGATTATGGAAGTTCTTGACTTCATGATTACTTAGCATGATTTAAAATTATCTTCTACTTTGCTTTGCCATAGAGGTGAGCGATCTCCCTTTTTTGTTGAGGATTTTTGACAACTGTGTTGCCATTTTCAGACTCCACAAAATCATGCCATGCCATTGGTCAAGCAAAGTTCTGTTGACAATAGGGGTGTGCAATGGTCCGGTCCGTACCGGACCACACCGGACCAAACCGTTGTTAAGACCGGACCGGACCAGACCGAGTAAAATACGGTCCGGTCCTTGGTCCTAATGAATTTTATAATTACTGAAGAAATGGTGGACCGAGCTCATATTTGGACCGGACCAAACCGGACCAAATGGACCGAATGCAAGAATGGTCCGGTCCTTGGTCCTAACATGTCTTTCACTAATGGACCGCGGTTCTCATGAGTTTGGTCCGGTCCGGACCGAACCGAATCGTTGCACACCCCTAGTTGACAATCAACGACTTGGGGTACATGGCAGTCCTCCTTTTGGCACTTCTGAAGAGCATCTGACGAATTCTAAGAGACAAAAGTTGAACTATGGTTCCAAAGATACAAGTTTGCCTAATGCCGGTCGTTTTGAGGCAAGGGGTTCTCAAGCTGAAAAACTGGTAATATCTCGTGTTCGCAATCCTGCAGCATCAAATCAGCTCCCTGCAACCATAAATGTTTGTGGATTTTCTCAGTCCTCTAGCGTCTCACAGGTCAGTGCTCTTTTCATTTGTAGTCAAGGTTGTCAATCCGCGGGTCAACCCGGATCTAGTCGAGCTAGTGGATTATGGGTTAATGGATCACCTGTTTTAGCATGGGTTAGCCTGGTTTAGCCCAAAAACGTTATAATTAATTTCATATATAAATTTATTATATATAAAATTTTAAATTAATTATAACATATAACATTACACCAAAATAATAATTCGCACAAAAATTTATCCTATAATGAAAACAAACGCACTTAAATACACCATATCATATGATATCAGTATATTTGCGATATCATATGATATCAGTATGTTTATGATTTTCGTATTCAAATGTAAAATTTTGAATAATTAAATGACTTGTATAAACCTGCAAAATAAAATGATTTATTAAATAAACAACACAAGAAAAATGGGGAGTTGGAAAGCCACTTAATCATCAAAGCCAAAATTAATGAAGTAGAATTATAAAAAATATCAAATTTGATTAAGTAATAAGTAGAGAACAATAATTAAATGATAAAAATTAACCCTCAAAAGCATTGCATCCATCTGTTAGTATTTATCAAGGTTGTCAAACCGGTTTATGCCAATATGCCGGTTTAGCAAGTGGAATGGTTCAACCGGTGGCACATATCGGCGGTCAATATTACAAATAAAATTGTAAATACTCGTATTTAAACATGACATTTAACGTCAATACCTAAACATTTATACTTGAATCCAACAAATAACATCAATATTTAATTTTTATACTCATAAAATAAAAAATAAAATAATTTTTATCAATTAAATTCTCTAAAATAATGTCATTTTACTTAGAGATTCGTATATCGATCATGCCGGTCATACCGGTGGTGTCACGCCGATTTTATGACCGGTACCGGTTGAACCCCGTACAATCGGTGGCACGCCGACCGACGTGACAACCATGGTATTTATTTATGAATTGGGTGGGGTCCCTCATGTCCACTTTCACATGGACCAAGAATGAAAAGCACTATCAGATAGAAATCTGGGAACCGCTGTTGGGGGTTGACCCGCCCGGGTTTGTCAGGTGTTGACCGGGTTAAAATGGTTTGACCATTACGAGTCATTTGTTAAACGGGTGTATGTGGGCCGTTTTTGTTACTGGGTCCGGTCAACCCGCGGGTTGACAACCTTGTTTGTAGTGCATTCTATATACAACACTTTTTGTTCGGATTAAAAAACATTATTTTAGTTTTTGCTCAATGTTGGCAATAGCCAGATGGAGGTGAAGAGGAGTGGGGTCCTAGAACTCACTTGGAAAGTAGATCATGATTGTATACAAGTAGATAATTACTTAATGTGGATAGGTTTCGACGTCAGGTAGGGGTGGGCACTCGGTTCGGTAAACTCGAACCGAGTTTAAACCGAACCGAAATTGAACTATTGTTATTCGGTTCGGAATTTAGAAAGAAAATCTGTATAATTCGGAAATCCGGGTTCTTTTGATTGAACTGAGATTCCGAATGCCTAACCGAACCGAACCAATGTCGAACCGATGCTGAGATTCGGTTCGAAATCGGTTTGGCCTGTGAAGTCTTTCGGTGACCCGGTATACAACATTTCGGTTTGGTTTTAACCGAATCAAACCGATGCCCACCCCTAACGTCGGACCCCATTGTTACAAAATTCACCTTTCATTTTCAAATAAAGAACACTATAATATAAGAAAACATTGGAAATCCTTAATTTGCTAACTTGCAATTACAAAAATTTCTCCTTTTGCTAGATATAAAAATACCTCCTACTATAACTAAGAACACAATTCAACTCAAGGCATTTTTTTAAGATCAAATTTCTAGGTCATCAAATGCATTTTATAATGTCTATATGTGTTAGTTTATTTTTTTGCCTAATACGCTTAGCTAACTATCGCAATGTCAATTTTCAAGTTTAGATTGCACGAGAAGTAAGTTACATAATCAAATAATTTAGTTTGATGAATAATTACTTGAACGAATATATTGAAATAAATATATAATTGAGTAAATATTATAGAATTTATTCATAAATAGGTGCCCAGTAAGATTCGATCCTTGCTACGCTACTGGCAATAGCGAATCTTAAATAATCACATAGTTGAACTTGTATATGTAGTGTTTGGATTGATCGTGTTTGCATTAGTTCAATGAGATTAACAATAGCAAATCTCGGTTGATACAATCTGGTAGTGATAATTGTGTTTTTATTTTGGTGACATATTTGACATAGCTTAGTTTGGTTACTTTTGAGTCAATTGTTGAATATTGTTTACGGATTGTTTGGTTGTTACGAAAACGGGGCTTGGTTGTGGAACGGTAAAGGGAAAAAAAAACAAATTATGAAGTAATATTTTATCAAAGTAAAATGTAATTGCAATAAATTTGCCAATTATCAAATGTAGTAAACACAAGGTACCATTACTAAATAAATATTTACATTACCGCTTTTTAAAATTGTGATTACAATTGAAATAAGCGAAAGGTTCTAGAAAAAACAAGGGCTTGGGGGCAGAAAAGAGAGGAGAACAACAAACAATTCTTATACACTTCCTTCATCGGGATTTTTCCAGAACCATTTTAAAAAAATTAAAAAAATAGCACCCAGTCCATACAAATTCCAAAAATAGCATCAATTTTTAAAAACCACACGACAGAGCTGCGGTTTACAAAGAACTGCGTGGGTTAGATGCGGTTCTTGATAGGGCAGCCCAAAAATCGCTTGGGGAAAGTGCAATCAACACGCACAGTGTAACGGTCCCCAGGACCGTTGGATTAGGTGGCGAACAAACGGTTGACCTCGCGCTAGCAGTGCGATCCGCGTCAGGGATCAAGAACCACGCCCTGGAAGAACGGTTTGCTCCTCGGGTTGCATGAACTGCGCCTTGGAGATGTGGTTTTGGTGGGGGTAAAATTACTAAACCGCCCTTGGAGGGTGCGATCTGAGTGCTATAAAAACCCTCCTACCCTCTCTCCATTTATTCACACCACAAGCCATTCTTCTCTCTCTCTCTCTCTCTAAAATTATCTCTCTATCCATACTCCTCCCCTCCCAAAAGCCTAGTAAATAGTGGTCTGTTGGTTGCGGCTAAGTCAGATTTGCTAGCAGAAAATATTTCTTTGGTTTTTTCCTTCAAAACCCGTTGAATCTTTGTTGTTGTTATAACCTTTTTAATTAATGTGGTTTTTTCCTTCAAAACCCGTTAAATCTTTGTTGTTGTTATAACCTTTTTAATTAATGTATGTACTAACCTGTTGTTATTCTCCCGTAGGTTGGGGACGACGTGGATATATACAACCAACGATATTATGTTGATCAAGGACCTAGTGATCCAACCGTGTTGTACGACCAAACCAACCATCGTTCAAGGGATGTTTGGAACGATCACGGGGTACATACAATTCTTCATCATTTGTCATTTTTTTATTTTGCTAACGTACTTAGTGGAATATAAATTAAATTTGATCATTTTTTATCGTAATGGTTGTTTTCAATAATTTAATCGAATACATAACGTCACTTACTTAGACTCTTTATAAAGAGATGCATGTCTAAGGAAATTTGATTTTAAGCGATTATCATGATCCTCTCATTCTCTGGAAAAATCGGGTTTTAAGCGATCCTCGGATCCAATGTAGTCAAAATCACGCTTTAAAACTTAAAAACTAACGATTTTACGTTTCTAGGTCACTAAAACGCTTCTACACAAAATCTCAGTTTATATAACTTATGTAGTTAAAAACTCCTCTTTAAAACTTAAAAACTTACGATTTTACGCTTATAGATCACCAAAACGTTTCTATGTAGAATCTCACTTTTGACTACATTGCTCGGATCCCCTCTTTTCTGTCAAAAAGGCTGCATTTCTAAGAAGATGAATACATCTTCTAAGAGTCTAACGAGTGTTGCATTGTATTCTATTAAATTATATTTAAAACAACCAATACGATTTACACAATAATGTCATGGATTTATGTGTATGTGTAACAAATTAATTTTATTAATTAAAAAATTTTGAATATGTATTTGTTTAAATTATTATTCATTAAAATTGTTATTTATTTTAATTGAGTATGTTTGTTTTATGAAATTATGTACATATATCTTGGAAACAACCTTGAATCATTTTAAATTGTTTGTTATAATAGATTTATAATAAAAATATGGTGAAAGTTAAGTCATTTTTTTAATTAATTTTGTTATTAAAACCTTGATACTAGTATATCATAAACTTATGATAAACGTTAAAATTTTCTCTAGGAGGCACACCAAATAATTCGCTACAGGGGTACGACCAATGTGCTCCCATGGAACGATGTTATCTTGCCATTTCTCAAAAAGGCACGGTTGGAGTCGATTAGAAATTTTTGTGGTATAAAAATTAATCGTCAACTCATCACTGCATTGGTGGAGAGATGGCGAAAAGAGACACATTGCTTCAACTTTCGCGAAGGAGAGTGCACTATCACACTAAAGGACATCGCGATCCTAACCCATTTGCCCATCGACGGTAATGTGGTGTGTGTGAACGATCATCCGCCACCGGATGTTGGCGATATGACCGGTTGGCAGAATTTGATCCACAACGTTTTGGGGGTGCGTGTGCCAGTCAAGGGAAGCGTTGATGCGACAGATCGCTTAGCACCATTGAGGACCAACCAAGTATCAATCACTTGGTTGACGAAGTGGATCAAGAACTTGCACAACCCAGCAAATGGCGGGGTGCCCTTGACCGAGGAAAGTCCAGAGGCGGTGAAAGAAAGATATGCTCGTGTCTATCTCATAGGCATGATCGGAGGAGTGTTATTCCCCAAGAAATCTAACAATTTAATTAGCTGTGGATGGCTTAAGATCCTCCTTGGTAATTGGGATGCGATGGGCGAGTTGAGCTGGGCATCCGCTTGCCTAGTTAATATATACCACCATTTGTGTAATGCATCTCTCAAAGCTGTGAGGGAGGTTGGCGGGCGATGTTCATCGTCCAATTTTGGGCTTGGGAGCATCTGCCATGGATTGCACCCGTCAATCATCTCGACAAGAACTGGCAAATCGACCATCCCCTAAGAGGTCAAGCTTATGGTTGTAGGTAAACTTCACATACCCAATCATGATTTTCATATTTCAGTTTCGTTTGTTATTTAGTTATAACATTTCATTGTTGTCCTTATTAATAAGGTGGGTTGGAGCCACAACGTGCGACAACCTTTCCGAACACAAATTGGCAGAGTATCGGAGGAGGCTAGAGCGACTTTGGGAAGGAGAGGTAACGAAAATACTTCAAATTTCTCAATTTGTTATTTTTTACATGTATTATCCAATTTCATTTAACTTAAGTTGGTCATTTCTTTTTGTAGATCATTTACGATCCATACCCTGATAACATCGTTCACTGTCATTGCCAGCAATTCTCTGGTCATGTCGGTCAATGGTGCACGAGAGTCCCTCTCATTTGTCACCATACCGTGGAGTGGCACCTCCCAGATAGATGCCTCCGTCAGTTTGGTCGGGAGCAATGCATTCCTCTAGAGATCCCCGAGAGTCAAAAGACGTTTCACCACCGAGATGGTCGTCAAGGTGCTGAAGATTGGCCTTTGAAGTTGAAGAAATTCATCACTATGTGGGATAACCGACAAGATTTTGAGATTGTCACTCCAACAACAGTGCGTCGAATGAGTTATCATGACCCATACATGGATATTTATCGACAACAGTCGGTAAGGTATGTGACTCCGGAGGGTGCGGCCGATGGTGCACTGGTAAGTAATTATGTTTAAGCAATTCAATTTATTGCACATTCATTGGCATATCATATGAGTTTTAGCTCGCTAACTTTGTTACTTAATGTGATTTAGGTTGATGGGCTCGAGTGTATCAAAGATATGACCCATGGTCGAGATGAGCTCGTCAATGAAGAAGTTGATTTCCTTAGGGGAATAACAAATAACCTACTTGGGTGTGTTAGAGCACGGGGTCGTGATCATCATAGATACCCGTATATGCTCGAGCAAGCGCCACCTCAGGCAGCTGTTGATCTCGACAACCCGCCACCGCCATATCAGAGAAGGCAAAACAAAAAGACTCGAGAAAGACCGAACGTGCCCGACATCAGGCCGATTGAGGGGTGGAAAGTGTCGAGTCCTTTGGATGTGACACAAGGTGGCGGTTCGAGAACATACAAGGGTGGCGGAACGAGTACTCATCACCAAAAACCTCGCCCGTGCTACCAACAAGAACCCCACCCCAGCTCCTACTATGATCCACGCTCGAGCTACCAACAAGATCCTCACTCCAGCTCCCCCTATGATCACCGCCCGAGCTCCTACTACTATCCCCGCCAGGGCTCCTACCACGAACCCTGCCCTGGCTCTCAACAATTCCCCCGACCGAGCTCCTACTACGAACCCCGCCCCGGCTCTCAACAATCCCCCCGCCCCAGCTCCTACTACCATCCCCGCCCGAGCTACCAACAAGATCACCGTCCGAGCTTCTACAATGAGGGCACATCCTCGAGTACTTGGCATGGTGGTTCATCGACGAGTGCACAACACGACTTCATGCATCTTAATCGCCCTCAGGGGCCGTGGCCTCCTACTCCTAACCGTATGAACGTGGATGTCCCCCGCTCGACCCCTGGAGAGCCTCCTTCCACGGACCGACACCGCCACAACACCGATGAGCGCTCTAGCATGGCACGTCGAAATTTGCCACCGGCTCCACGCATGGTTACACCCGTCAACCATCGTACAAGGAGCAAGAGAGTGTTGCAACCCCATGAGTTACATGGACTTCCTTGAGTTTTACTTTTAATTTATTTAATTTAATTGAGTGTTATTTTTTATTGCTTTTGAGTTCAATGTACTTGACTTCCTTGATTTTATTTTTCGTGTAAACTTAAGTTTGAGTGTTTTTTTCGAAATGTTATTTTTAGTTTATTTAATATTGTTAATGTGGTTTATGTTGCAAAAAAAACATCATGGGACATTGACTAAACACGCAAGTTCCAACGATCATAACTTTGACAATAGATAAAATTTACACAACAACTATCAGGAAATGGCGAAGCAAACAACATTGCAAGAATAACACTCAATTAAAGTGTTATTCAAAAGTGAGAATCACAATTAAATTTAGGTCATTAAAGTGAGAATCCTTATATTCTTCAAAAGTGAGAATCACAACAACCAAACAACATATTCTTACAATCATCTATTTCTTATAATCACTGTACTTATAATACATACATTGCAAGAATACACATATTCGTAGACTCCCAACTTCCAAACGACCCCTTAAATACTTAATTATCTATGTTTATTTTGTGGCCCATAACCTTTTCTTTTTAATTTCTTTCTACTTATGGGCTTCATTGTTCTATACAAACCAGGAAGATAAAGACCTACACTTGTGCACCAACATCAACCCAACCAAACACCCTATGGTAACGATTCACAAACCTTCATTCAAATTCCCACATTGAGGGCAATGTGTCTCTCAGGTGCGGGATATTTGTATGATTGATTGAATGATTCGTGAATGATTTTTGCCATAAGTTGGTAATAGCCTTCCTTTGTCATGAATGTAAGACCTTTTTGGGAATGGTTGTTATCGATTAGTTGGGTTTTGGTGCATTGAATGACTTATATTTGGTGTTTGGAACCCTGATGATATACCCATTTTTTTTTTAATTTGAGGGTTCCAAACACCTTATCCCTAGCATCTATCCTCTCAACGTGCTTTGAATTACTAGATAGCCACTATGGCGTGCTATACAGAGAGTAGTTTGCATTTACCAGGATTGTTGGTGTGTGAGGGAGTTTACTCTTTTTTTCCTCTTTGATGAGTCGATAGTGTGTGCTGCTAGGTAAAGACGTGTGCGGGAGTTTCTACCTTTTTGGACCTAAAAAGTGTTTGCAAATTGTGCTCATTTCGAAAAACCAAAAAGGTTTCTTAAACAATTGAGGTCCTCACGTGAAAGAAAACCAGACATAGTTTTTGATTTGATCCGTCAAAGGGCTCTTCTCTCGATTTGGAGTGTCGATTGAGGATGTGTTTGGGGATCGGATAGCTTTACCACATCCCGATAATCTCTTACTACTTTCCACCCCCCAAAAAACTCTCTTTCTCACGGGTTCGTATGGCAAGGTTCAAATGCATCTTTTAGCTAACCATGAGACCTCGGCTCTCGATTGAACCCGACATGTGTGGCACACCCGTCTATCGTTGAGATGAGGCATGCATGCTAGGAACTGGTGCAAAAGCAATAAATCCGACCATCAAGTTCCCCACATTATGGCGAGTCCGGGAAGGCAATTTGCAAAATTTTTATGCCAATTTGCAAGGAAAATTACAATATTTGATGCCAATGTGGCAAAGTTTGAAAATAAATTGACTCCTTATCTTAAAAGAACGAATAAAAAGCATCCATAAATTCCAATGTTTTCATTATTTTTTAAAGTCCCGCGGAGCACACCTTGTGTGTCTAGACCTACTCAGTTATAATGGTTCTCACATGGGAGTTTATGTTTACACATTAGGATGGGAGTAACGTTCACTCGACCCCTACTATTCTAACTAGTGAAACGAAGAACTACAAGTCACTCCATATTGATTGTTTATCAAGTTTTACTAGTTTGAGTATGATTTCTTGGGGACAAGCAAACAACTAAGTGTGGCGGAGTTGACAACACTCATTTTAGTGTTATTTAGAACCCATATTTAGACTTGTTTCAAGTCATTTTGTGTTCTTCATGGTCAACGTATCGCCAAATATACCCCGTGTTGTTCAAACAAGGGGATTCGCCATCATCGGATTGGCCCTTAATTTCTTTGCCTATTGAATTTCTTTCTTGCCCTTTCCCGTCGGCGATGAGGTAACAGAGGCCGGGCGACACACACACACACACACACACACACACACACACACCAGAGAGCAGACTAGAGCAAGCTAGGATCCCTTACCAGTTGCACCAGATGCCTCGTTGCTCTTGCTTCAAAGCCTGGCTTTCTGAAAAATCCAGGCAGCCATTACCTTCAATGATTCCAAGGGATCCGCTGAAATTAGTGTCGTGCAACGAGGCCATCAGCTTGGTTTGGGGGAGAACGGTGTCGTCGGTGACAGCTGCCTGGATTGCGGTTTTGGACAATGCAGTCAAAATCGTGATTTAAAACTTAAAAACTTACGTTTTTACACTTTTAAGTCACCAAAACACTTCTAAGTAGAATCACACTTTTCCCTTATAAATGTAGTCAAAATCTACGCTTTAAAACTTAAAATCTTACGATTTTACGTTTCTAGGTCATCAAATCGTTTCTACGTAGAATCACACTTTTGACTGCATTGGTTTTGGAAACTTTACCAATGATGGATCCGAAGGAGAGAAAGAGAACCACCCCCAATGTTGATGGACTAGCGTTATGAAGTTTCGATTAATTAATTAATTGTCCACAACGTTTCCTCCTAACTCCGTCTATGTCCCACAACGTTTCCGAACAAGCTTCTTTCCCCTCCCACCTCAACGCCTCCTCTCCATTCTCCCTCGACCTCCTCTGCAGAGAATTCGTCATGGGATCCCGCCACCAGGACTACCAATCCCTCATTGCCGCCAGGCTCCGCTATGATTTGGCCAACATCCAATCCACCTCCGACTCCAACCTCACTCCCCTCCACGACGACGACTCCCAGCAGCCGCCTCTCCTAGTCCGATTTATCGACCTCGGTCGTGTCCGGGTCGAACCAGGGCAGCGAGAGTACTTCTCCCCTATTGGGCTAGGCATCCCGACCCTTCTACATTGTCCTCGACACTGTAGAGACGAATTGATGGAAGAGAATTGTGAAGGGATTGTGAGAGGGTACGAAAGCATGGTCGTCGGAAGGGTGAAGGCCATCTCGGTGGATGGCGGGCAAAATTGTCCAAGTCGGGGAAGTTCTCTTCAGCCCATTCAGAGGACAACAAAATATGGTCTGTATCCCTTGGTTTGGTTGGTTACTCTTGGGAGAAGGAATCCAGATTCAAAAGAACCATTACAATGGACAGAAAGCTTCTGGCGAGCTTGATGGGTCGGTCAGTACAAGACTGGGAAGCGAAGCTGGAGCGAGTTTTGCATCATAATGATGGCAGTAAATGAGAATTTACTACTTTCCCTAGTTTTGAGAATAGACACAGTTTTTAACATGAAATGGATCAATAACTCTGTTGCCTCTAAAGCAATTCACAAAGCAACACAGATTACTAAAATTCCAAAAAATTATCATTATCTAAGTGCTTCTATGAAGAAAACAAAACAAAAATAAATTAAATTTAATTATTTTAAAATTGTCATGTCACACATTTAATGGTCAAATTTTAGAGTTGACCGCCACATAAGTAAAAGTTAACGGAGTTGGACGGAGAGTGACCAAACGTGAACGGTTTCAGTAAACTGAAGTACTATCAATAGATTTAAATATTTCGAATGACCAAACATGAACGTTTTTTGTAATCTCAATGATCAACCATGCAATTAACCCATACTTATAGTGACCAAATGTAAATTTTTGGGTAATCTATTTTTTATCCAAACTTTTTTCAAATTCTTTTATATTATCCAAACCTATCGAAATATTAAAAATTAGCCAAATGTTAACTTTCAGTTAGCAATATTGTTAGTAATATTGACTTGGCAACATGACACTGACTTGGAAGAGACTCATGAAGGTCAACATTCCAAAATTTTGGTATTTTAACTAAGAAAAGAGTTACGAAATTATTAATGATAACGTAAAAATGGCTAATATTTTGATGCATTATAAAAGATTTGGATAATTAATAAAATTTTAATAGAACTGAATAATATAAAAAATATGAATAAAAAATAGACATTACCCTAAAAAAATTTTATCCGACTTAATTTTATCGGATGTCGTCAAAGAGACAATTTACCGATTTAATAGTTATCTCATTTTCGGCAAACCAAAATGCAAATGGGCGCGAAGCTCTTAAAAAAGGGCAAAAAGTTAAGAGAAGATTGAGCAGGGAATCTGCGCGGGAGAGGAGTGTTGTTGACATCTCCAAATTAAACCGAAGTCCAAACTACAAATCCAACAGTCCAAAAATAAAGGGCGCGCAGCGCGGCGGGAACTACATAAAAGAGTTGGTTTTGAAAAGGACCCTCCCGCCAGAGCTTCAATTCCTCGATCTCAGCCGTCCACGTGGGCGCATCTCGGGCAACATCAATCACCTGAAAAGCCTTCCCACATTTGAGCGGCGAGAGGCGATCTCCGCTCGCGTTGCCTCTGTTCCCCAGTGACACCACGAGCACGAGCAGTGTTCATTTCCTCACAGTAGTCGTTCACAGTCTTAATGGCGGGTGAGAATAGGACTGGAAGGGCAATGAATCCAGGGTTCCTTCATCTTCAGAAGCTCGCCCTCGAACTCAAATGCCCCCTCTGGTTAGCCCCTCCAAAGCTTGCTCCTTTCAGTTGTGTTCCCCCTCCTGATTTCACTTGACTCCTTTGCTGTTCCCGGTCCAGACTGGGAAATTCCTCTGCGGAAACCCTAATGTGATTGTGGCAACTCTCCTGTTCTTTTCTTTTTGGGGGTTTAAGGGTTTGGGTTTGACTAATATAACCGTGTTTTAACTCTTTCTGCAGCTTAAACTTTCTGAAGAAGCCACATTTACTGCCATGCGATCACATTTTCTGCCGGTAATCTTTTCATTCATACTATTGCCCCTGGCTGGTTCCTTCCGTGGGTGTCGCCTTTGGAGGGCTTTCTTCTGTTTGACTCGCAATTGCTTGACTTGGATCTATCAAACGTATTGCAGGTCGTGCCTACCCAAATCCAAACAGCTGGGTCTGGAATGCCCTTACTGTAAGGGTCCCTACGCTGATGAAGGTATGTATCCATTTGCTATGTATGTTCGTTTCATTTTGAATTGTTAAACCCTCTTGAGGGAATTGACCAAGCCGTTACAATTTGACTTGAATGAGAAAAGAAGCTGGCTTTGCTAATATGAAAACTTTATTCTAGAGAACGAGTTTAGCCTTCAGAGGGTAAAAAATCCTTATGTTTGGTTGCAGATAGTAGGCACCTGCCCTTCATCGAGAACCTTGTGACTATCTACAGAGGACTGGATGCTGCTTTTCATGTCACTGCAATGCAGTCGGTTGGTTCTGGTGGTATGTCCTCTCTTCCATTGATTATAGTGAAATTGTCAATGCCCTTCACTTCGCGCTCAGCCTTTCCTCGTGGCTAAAATCATCTGCAAATTTTTTTCGTCTTTATCAAGATCCCCAGGTTTTAGGCAGCAAAGATGAATCTCTGAAAGCTAGCTTCAACCACAGCATTCATGTGAGAAATTGCTCATTTTCACCAATGAGCAAGAAATCCGATCCTGTTCCATCAACTCCTGTTGGAATTGTGGCTGGAGAGAAAGGCATGTCAGATAAATGTAGTTTACCTAGGGGCTTAAAAGATAACGACAAAAATGTGGTTGAGGATGGTGGGCGCAAAGCTAAACCAAATGCCCAGTCCCCACTGATAGATTCTCAGACAGGAACTCAATCGATGGAAGAGTATGTAACTACGACTCTTGTAGACCAATTGTCACTTGATAGTCCTTCATTTGGTGACCTCAAGGATTCTGAGGATGACAGTAATGACCAATGTGGTAATGATGTAAGGTTTCTTAATCCACTTCACTTTGTTACTTCATGGGATCCCACTGTTTTATTTTTAGATTTTGTGAGAAATGGTCCTAGTTAGTTGAATTCTTATACTTGATTATGCAAGTTCCTGACTTCGTGATCACTAGCATGATTTAGAATTATCTTCTGCTTTGCTTTGCCACAGAGATGACTGATCTCACTTTTTTGTTGAGGAATTTTGACAACCCTGTTGCCATTTTCAGACTCCACAAAATCATGCCATGGCATTGGTCAAGCAGAGTTCTGTTGACAATCAACGACGTGGGGGACATGGCAGTTCTGCTTCTGGCACTTCTGAAGAGCATCTGAGGAATTCTAAGAGACAAAAGTTGAACTATAGTTCAAAAGATACAGGTTTGCACATTGCTGGTCCTTTCGAGGCAAGGGATTGTCAAGCTGAAAAACTGGCAATATCTGGTGTTCACAATCATGCAGCATCAAATCAGCTCCCTGCAAACGGAACTGTCTGTGGATTTTGTCAGTCCTCTAGCGTCTCAGAGGTCAGTGCCCTTTTCATTTGTAGCACATTCACCATCTCTTCGTTGTACAAAATACTTTTTGTCTAGTTTAATCTTCTTGCATTTCATACATCTATTCTGCTACTTTCCCTGTCACTTCGGTTTTTAACCTCTTCATATTTTAGGATACTGGCCCCATGTTGCATTACCTAGACGGGAATCTGGTCGAAGGACATGAAGCTACCATGTCCACTGCATTGCATGTTCACAGGATTTGTGTTGAATGGTACACTGTTACTATATCCGTATTCATAATTTTGTGCTGAAAATTGGGTGTTTAGGTTGTTTAACTGTGTGATTGGTATTGCAGGGCACCTCAGGTATTTTTTGTTGGTGATACTATAAATAACTTGAAGGAAGAGTTGGCTAGGGGTGCAAAACTTAAGTGCATCAAATGTGGGCAAAAGGGAGCAGCACTAGGTTGCTATGTCCAATCTTGCAGAAAAAGTTATCATGTTCCCTGTGCAATGGAAATCGCTAGATGCAGATGGGATTTTGTAAGTGTGTGGCTTTGGAATAGTATATGCCGTTAGAGAACCCTAGCAAGTGGTCTGTTTCTGCATCTTTTCACTGAGTTGATATTTGGCACTAACATCTTCTGTACTTGGTTTGCAGGAGGATTACCTTCTACTTTGTCCTGGCCATTCTTCTCACAAATTTCCAGCTGAGAAGTCCAAGCGTGTGAAACAGAAGTTGAAAGATAATCAGAACACGAGGGATGATCTTGAGTTGGCAAAAACGTAAATGCATGTTCTCTCATTTTTGTTATTTTAAAATCGACTTGCTAGGATTGCCTGTGCTGAAATGAATGACTTTTTTTATTGAAGAGACGATTGTGCATTCTAATAAACTAATATGAACTTAAGAAGACATTTTTCACTTGTGCATGCAGAGTCTTGAAGCAGTCAAACCCGTGGATAGGTTCAAAGAAGTGGCTTTTCTGTGGATCTACTCTTTCTGCTGAAGAGAAGGTTAGTTTGAACTGATGATTTCCTAATTGCTTGGTTAAAAATGCATCTACTCTGGTGAATCCTAATTCTGTTTGAATTCAAGGAAATGAGTGCATTTGACTACCTTGATGACGAATTTGACTTAATACTTGGGGATAAACAAAATTTTATTGAAACTTTTTGTCTCCAAAAGAAGTTTTGTTAGTTAGCTCTCTCTACTTGCTCAAAAGCACAACTGTAAGCTGTTAGTTTCTGTGTTAAATTAACATCTATCCAAAAGATGCCAACACATTAGACCTTGGTTGTCATGTCAGTGTATTCTAGCGGAGTTTGGCAACAAAATAGATGTACCAGTGACTAAATTCTGGAGACCAGATGTTACACATGTGATTGCATCCACAAATGCGGAGGGGGCGTGCACTAGAACACTGAAAGTTCTCATGGCCATTCTAAATGGGAAATGGGTTCTAACAATTGACTGTAAGTTGATCCCTTTATCCAACAATATTCTAATGCATCTTTACTTGCTCCATCTTGCTGTCTGTAAGGGTAAGCTTAAATTAGATCCAGCTATCCCATCACTAAATGGTTTGATATCATATTCACAGGGATAAAAGCATGCAAGGAGGCAATGCAACCTGTCAGTGAAGAACCTTTTGAAGTTAGACTTGACAATCATGGATCCTGTGATGGCCCCAAAAATGGGAGACTTTGTGTCTTAAATAATGCAAGTATCTTGATGAGCTATCAGCATGAGTAGATTTAACATGGATTTTCTTTCGTTCTAGTTGAGTAGACCGTTACCATGTCTAATTATGGCTTTGTCCTTGCTCGTTTCCTTGCAGGGTCCGAAGCTCTTCCACCAGTTAAACTTCTACCTCTCTGGTGACTTTGTATCTGGCTACAGAAAAGATCTCCAAAATCTGATTGTTGCCGCGGGTGGCACAGCATGGTGGAGCAAGGAAGACTTGTTGGAGATGAGCAAACAACACAAAGGTGGGGATGGAGCTTCCCCAACAATATTAGTTGTTTACAATCTCGATCCTCCGCCGGGCTGCAAGTTGGGAGAAGAAGTGTCAATTCTCTGGGAAAGGCTTAATGAAGCAGAGGATATAGCTGCTAAAACTGGATCTCAAGTTATTGGTCATACTTGGCTGTTGGAATCAATTGCTGCATGTAAATTGCAGCCCCTTGTTAGTTGAAAAAAATGTTCAGCAACAACTCCCAGAAATTTTAGCTTGTTTTAGGACGTTGGGGCAATAGTTGGAACTGTGCCATATTGTAAGGGTTATTAAGCATACGCTGTATTGGGATGATAATAATACAGTAGACACATTTTGATTTCTAATGAAAGAGTAACATGTGTATTTCCTTCAGATTATACCTGTTTCATTGCATCAGGAACAGGAGCAGCAGCAGTAAATGATTGCCGAAGAAGGGAAGAACAAAGATGAATTTAGAAGATACATCCCTTGTTTATTAAAGAAAGAAATGTTGTTGGAAAGCAATGCAGTGCTGTGTTTTACAAGAACTACTATATCTAAACCGATGTACAATAATCACTTGTTTTTGTTTAGTATCATTTTCTATTTTTTGTTTTTGTTTCCACGGGTAAACAGATAGATGAAAAATATGTTTATTTATGTTTTCATAACAACTAACAACATGAATTGGCAACATAACATACATCAGCTGAAATCAGCGAAACCATTTTAAGTAACTTTCTTGTTGTTACAAAAAAAAAAAAAAGTTTTTTTGTGAGATCATATCAAGTGTTCATTTAAGTGAGTTAACAAACAAACTTTCTACATGTTTTCCCTCTCCAAATTTACATAACTCTTCCTAGAAACCTTATTGTCAATATTATTTTCATATATCTTCTAATAACTTGTCATGTCGCATTATATCTCTAATTGTTTTCCTATTTATATCTTATTCTCAACATTGATACTAAACGGGACTAAAGAATTCACTAGTTGTGTTTCTACTCCTGATTGTCAACTTGCATGATTTGTCAGAATTACCAATTAAAAAAGTTTCTGGTTTCTATTTTTATGTTGTTTTGGTTGTAGCTTTGTTGTCACAACTCTATAGCAAAACAACAACGCTATACCAAATCAAACCTAAGTTGTCACCTTGTCGGGATACGAACGTCCGACTAGTGAGTTCTCTGTTCTTAGGAGTCAATTCTGATTGGTCAATAAAAATCGATTTGAATGCTATTTCTTTTTTATTTTTTCTTAGTTTAGGCAATTTAGTATGAAAAGTAAAAAGGGGTAAAGTAATCCTATGTTGATTTTTTTTTTAAATGTAAGCTCCCTTTTTCCGCATGTAGAAAAGGAATAAATAAATCAATCAAATTCCGGGAAGCTTCATGAAGTGCTTCTTTAGGAGTTAAACTTCCATTGGTCCATATTTCGAGAAAAAAGGATCTCTTGCTTTTCATTTCCATTTCCATAAGAATGAACACTATGATTTGCATTTCGAAGCTATGGTATCCATTGGTCACGTAGAAGCAATTAAGATGAACATACAACTCTTTGCACCGGTTAAGGGGCAAGAACAACTGCTTAGCCTTCCTCGCACCAATTCAACGAGGCTACCTGGCAACAGGAACGGAGCCAGGAATTCGGTTGAGGGGGGCCGGTAAAAAAATTATGAGAAAGATTAAGTAAAGTCTTTAGAATTTGAAACTATTTTATATATATATATATATTAGTAATGCGAGTTTAATTTCATATTAGATACCAAGTAATACGATTTATCACTATTCTTCAGGGATTTACCATAATAACTTGAATAATTAAAGTTACTAGTTTGGCGTACGATTTGGCTTTACAAAAGTGTATATTTGATGAGATTTGTCCATCCACTTTGAATATATGAATGATAATTAAGAGCCTATATTTATCTCCATTTTACCTATAAAAATGGATCATATTTATTTTCACATGCATCCATGAAATATGGTTTTGATTATATTATGTCCCCTTGGTAGGTTAATAAATATTGGTATAGTACATCCTAATTAGATTCTAGGTGCATATAACTTCACATTCTTATATTGTATAAGAAATAATTTTTAAATTTATCAAATGAATTGATGATATTTATCAATAAATCATTGAAACACTAGCTTCCTTATAGGGAAAGGCAAAAAGAAAAATTGGGGAAGGACTAAAAAAACTAGAGGGAAAAGAGCTGAAAAAGGCCAAAGCTAGGCAAAATGCTAAGTTCAACCACTGAACTACAAGAAAAGTATTGTTTTGTATGTTTCATGAAAACATTTAATAATCGGGGGGGGGGGGGGGGGGGGCAAGCTTAAGTTGAAATGGTTTTTTGCAGGTTGGATGTTTGGGTACGCAACTCAACTCCACATGAGAAGTCAGTGACGGAGCCATGTTATTGGTAAGAGGGGCTATAGCTTCCACTCAACTCTTAACATTGTGTAAATGTACTTGTATAATTTGTAACAATTTTGGAAAACACAGTAGATGGTAAGACTTTAACTTCCTTTCTAATTTAAATCCCTTAAACATAAATTTTTAACTCCTCTCATTAAAATTTCTGCTTTCATCATTGTGAGAAGTCAAACAAGGTGATGTCACTAACTCCATATCATTGTGGAGGCGGAGACATGTGCAACTGTGTTTTTGGCGGGTATGCTTTGTTTTATTATTGGCCAACAGCGGCAATATCCAATTCCCAGCCGATACCTTTCTCGTTCATAGGGGGGCGACTGAAAAGTCCAATCATGTTAGAAACCTTTTTCTGGGTTCCTAACGGTTGTGTTTTGAGATTGGAAATGGATAGGTAATTAAGGATTTACGAGAATAAGGGTAGAATTGGAGAAGAATAGATAGAACGGTCGAAGCCTTTAGAGAGAGGATAAACGAGAATGAGAGGAGAATATTAGGGATTAGGGGGAGATAACTTTTCTATTAATTTCTGCTTAATCTGACGAAAGACCCAAAGTACACATATATATAATCGACGGTTCTGATTCAAGGAAATATATTAAAGTGCAAAAACCAAGTGTGAACACAGGCGACAGCGTACGCCTGACGTACGCAAGCCTTTGCCATATATAATTACCCTACTAATAATAATGGAATCCTAAAAGAAATCGGTTTCTAACATCTCCTCCCCCTTCAGACCAACCTTGCTCTCAAGGTTGACTAACTTAGCCCACTCTTTCACGTTCCTTATGCAATCTGTATCTTTCTTGCACTATCTTTTCTTCCAATTATGCTCCATCTCTTGACTTGGACATCTTGCATTAATCAAAAGCGATGGCCTTTACTTCTGAGGATCCAATTCTTGTTTCCTCGAGAAATCTCCACTTTAATAACTCTTTTTTTGTTGGCATCACTCTCAGAGTTTCAGGAATCTAGGGAAGCTTCTTTGTACAAGAATTTATCCTTAAGAACCAACTCATCAAAGCCCTCCAAACACTTTCTTGGGTTCAGTCCATTAAATTGCATTGTTACTTCTCGACATACTTTTGGGCTAGACTTCCTTGGGAGCCCACCAGCTAAACCCTTCAACCCATCTTCCTCCAAGCCCTTTTTTTAAAACACAGACCATGTTCGGCTCAGGTCTCGGTCCCAAACCCATACAAGAGATATTCAGTAAAAGGGCTCATTGGAAGCCCAATTCCTCCTTGAAGACTTGAACAACCTATTTCTTGACACTCGCTGCCTCGATCCACATTCTAACTCAATCCCAACAAAAGCAATTAGTTTCTCGCGAGCCGACCTGTCATCCACGAATTGACCCGCTTTCCGTGGCCCATTAGGGTTTGTGGCTCAAATACCCGAACCCACAGCCAACTTGCTCGGCTCGACGAGATGGGGCCCTGCTGCTGCTGAGCGTCGCGATCCCAAGCAGGCGGCCTAGGGCTCGTGGGAAGAAAAACACGGGATCCCTTCTCCCTTGTTTCTTCCTCCGACCACGATAGTTCCTTCTTCGTCTCCATCATCGATGCGCTAGTCCCCGTCATCGCCTCCCTGGCCTTCATTGAAATCGGCGGCGACGATCCAATCCAGAGGCTCCTCACGGCCGTTGCTTGGATTTTACCCTAGGTTGTGCTTCTTTTATCACATTTCAGGTCCTAGTACGTGTAGGAAGGTTGATGACGAGTTTCAGAACATTCAGATGTCAAAACGAGTAAAAAATTGGAGTCTGTGCAAGGTGCACGGGCTGGGTGTTAGGATCACGCCACGAGGGACTGAAAATCACACCAAAATTGTGAAGTGTGCAATTTTCTAGGAGGCTTTATAACTCCAGCGGGCACTGCAAGGATCACGGTATGGGGGTGTGAAAATCGCACCAAAACCATGAAGTGTGCACAACACAGTGTGTTTTGTGCTGAGATCACTGTTTGCACACTTTACGTACGTGAAGTAAACACAAAAAACGTGATGTGTACACTGCTACAAGTATAAATCGACAGTGGCGGGTTTTTTAGAGTGGGAGCTAGGTTTTCCTTAGGTTCCGACCCAAAACACCAAATAGGCATTTCTAGAGAGAGAGGGGTCTATGAGGATTCTTGGAACTGATTTCTAGGTGCTTTTTATAGTGAGAGCTAGGTTTTCCTTAGACTTCCTACCCAAAACACCAAATAGGCATTTCTAGAGAGAGAGGGAGAGAGAGAGAGGTCTAAGAGGGTTCTTGGAACTGATATTGCATGTGCCAATCACCATTGGAGCTTGAAAATCATCCCCTAGAAGATGAAGATTATAAGCACATATTGTATTCTCTCTCCTCTTCTATATGAATTAGCTCTCTTCACTTAGGTTGATGAACCCTAGTTCTATATTTCGGATTGTTTGTTGATGCTTGTGACAAACCTATGATTGTGCTTCTCTATTATCAATTGGGTTGAGTATTATTCATGCATTTGATGGATCTGGATCTCATCCCTCAGTTTGGGGCTTTTTTACCTAGGAGGGAGAAAATCCTCTTACGACCCATTTTTGGCAATTCAGGTCACATCTCAATTTATATCGTTCCATGTTAGTCTTCGAGGGAGTGAATTTGAGAACAAGTGTTATAGGGTTCATAGTGACGTATTAGGAAACACCACGTCGGGTTTGTCCATCCGTGGGAATTTGCGGTTCGCATCTCAATTACCTTTGTCGGTTGTTTGGTATACCTCTCCAGGTAGCGCAATGGAGCCGGGTTGGATGCACTCGAATAGAGGGGGGGGGGGGGGGGGGGTTGTCCAACCTAGTCTTGTATTCTCGGTGGTAGAGATATTGAGTCAATCAATCTTAGTAAGTAATTAACATCGACCAAATGAAGGAATTAGGAGGATTCATGCCTAAGTGAACTCTTAACACTTGTAATTAACTAGGGTAGTGGTTAGGTTAATGTAGTTAGTTTAATCCTAATCAATATTTTTGGTTAACTAGATAATGAAACTTAAGCCAAAGTAAGGTACATCTAGAGACCTGTGGTTCGATATTTTTATTACTTGTTTACCCTATGCTACACCCGGCCATTGGTTATATATTGGCTTTCGATTGGAAAGTTTTAGTTAGAGCGAGCCAGTGGTTATTACAATCTTTATGGTTATGAGTGAAGTGTTTTCAACAAGGGTCAGGTCGATCCGGACCCGGTAAGCAAAGTGGGCGCCACACACCTGCAGGTTTGCTCGCAGTAAGGTTCGCGGGGGGAGGTCACACGACGTTTTTTTTTGTTTACGAATTGTGTCTCTTTTGCGGTGTTCCCCATTCCAGTAGTATCAGCCATTTATTCCACTTTGCTCCAAATTTGATCAAACACTCATTCGCCTAACCCTATAAATGGAATTCCAAATTGAATTTTTTCCGAGTAATGTTACATGAGTTAGTTTGAATTTTCATTATATGCTGGATCAACATACGAACTATTATTTTGGTGTAATGTTATAATTATTACTATATGCTGAATGAGATTCGATATAATTTATAATTATATGAACAATATAAATATTTTTTTATATATCCGAACTTAATTAGAATAAAACAATCGGATCATTAATTTTCAACTCACTTATTCGACCGGGTTAGCGGGTAAACCGAGTTGACAACCTTGCTATTAGACCCCGCGCTTTAATTGAATGCATGCATTTTTCCACAATCAGAGGAGATAATGCAAGCCCGAAATTCCAAATCCCGACAGAAGCTCCCTTCTGGCCCGGAACAGAGGGAAGATTCACACAAACTCTTGGAAAAAAAGACAAAGACGCTCGTTTACTAGGATTCCATAAATATTCCGAATGAAAAATGGCAGGCTACTCAAAGCTCAATCACGAGCCCCAAACTTTCTTTCACACCGACAAGATTTTCTTCCTTGTTTGTTGCTTCTTTCTTTCTTCTTATAAATTGGGATTCTATTCATGGTGTGAATCGTCTATGGGTTCTGAAAGGAAGAAAAAGATTGCCGTGAACCCAGAAAGAGAATCCCATTTTGTTGCGCGACGTCAATCCGGCGGCCGAACTTCCAGCGAAGACAGGTTTGAGAGCTTTAGGCTTAGTTCTGCTTATTCAAGTAGCTTTAGGGTAAATCCTTCTTGGGATTTAGCTAGTCAATATTTTGCCGTAACAGTAGTAGAATTAAGAGAAGAAGCAATTCAGTAAAACTGTTTTGTTGTGGTTGTTCCTCTCACCCACAGAGAACTGCTCCTTCCAAGTAACCTGGACGGTGGCTCCCGTTTGCCGGTGGGTCAATTTCACCGGAAAGATCAGATTTTTGAGCAGAATCCAATGGAAAAGCTAGAAGGGACCGGCTCCGACAAGGAGGGCAGGCAAGATTATACACAGGATGGGACTTTGAGCCTCCGTGGGAAGCCTGTGTTGAGATCAAGGACCGGGGGGTGGAAAGCTTGTTCCTTTTTTCTTGGTAACGTTTGGAAAAGGAAAAAACAGAAGCCAAAGTGTTTATTTTGTTCCAATAACTCACAATCTTAGCTGCTGCTGCTGTGTTTTTTCCCCTCACAGGGTATGAAGTGTTTGAGAGGATGGCGTTTTATGGGATAGCATCAAATTTGGTGATCTATTTATCAGTGAAGCTTCATGAAGGCACAGTGAAGTCTTCCAACAATGTCACCACCTGGACTGGCTCTGTGTGGATGTTCCCCATTCTCGGAGGTTACATCGCGGATGCTCACTTGGGTCGATACTGGACCTTTGTCATTGCAGCAGCCCTCTACCTTCTGGTACTGAAACTCTTTGACCAGTGGATTTCCTTTCATGCTGTGGGACTTTGTTTTGCAGAATTTCTAAAGCTTTTTTTTTACATGAGGTCTGATATCTTTTTGCTTCCGCACCAAACAGGGAATGTCCCTCTTAACCTTGGCAGTTTCAGTGCCTGGACTCAGACCCCCGACCTGTGGGAATGGAATCAACGAAACACAATGTGAACAAAGCGTCTCGAGTTTCCAAAAGGGGATTTTCTATTTCGCATTGTACACGGTTGCACTTGGAGCTGGTGGAACAAAACCAAATATATCCACAATGGGTGCAGACCAGTTTGATGATTCTGATCCCAAGGAAAGGCATTACAAGATATCATTCTTTAACTGGTGGTTTTTCGGCAGCTTCTTTGGCGCCCTCATTTCCAACAGCCTCTTGATCTACGTACAAGACAATGTTGGTTGGACCCTAGGCTACGGTCTGCCAACACTTGGCCTTGCGGTTTCCATCTCTTTGTTCCTTATAGGAACACGGTTTTATAGGCACAAATCGATTGCTGGGAGTCCAATCACTAAAATGTCGCAGGTTATTGTTGCTGCTGTCAGGAAATGGAGAATACCTGTTCCTGATGATCCGAAACAGCTTTATGAGTTCGCGCCCGAATCTCACTATTACAGACTTGATCATACAGCCACTTCATTAAGGTCTCTCTTAGCTGCAATACTGTGGTCGTTTGTGTTGCATTTATTGTTTCTCATTAATTTTTTTTTTCCATCTGGTAGCATCATAAGCTTTCAATAGTCCTCAAGTCTATCAGCTGCTTATAACTGCAGATTCCTTGATAAAGCTGCTGTTATGACGGGATCAAGCTCTACATGGATGCTCTGTCCAGTGACTCAAGTTGAAGAAACGAAGCAAATGATCAAGATGCTCCCGGTTATGGCAATCACTATAATACCCAATACCATAATAGCCCAAATGAACACATTATTCATCAAGCAAGGCACCACTCTCAACAGAAGCGTGGGGCCTGATTTTGAGATCCCTCCAGCATGTCTATCAGCATTTGTCACCATTTTCATGCTGGTAAGCCTCATCACTTACGATCGCTGGTTCGTGCCATGGCTTGAACAGTACACAAAGAACCCCCGGGGGATCACTTTGCTAAAAAGAATGGCGATTGGCTTTGTGTTGCACCTCGTCATCATGGTGACAGCCTGTCTGGTTGAACGAAAAAGGCTGTGTGTTGCCAGAGAACACCACAAACTGGGTCAGCACGACCAAGTGCCTCTCAGCATCTTTATCCTGTTGCCCCAGTTTGCTCTGGTGGGGGTTGCGGATTGTTTCCTTGAACCTGCAAAGCTCGAGTTCTTCTATGACCAAGCACCAGAAGGCATGAAGAGCCTGGGCGCCACGTACTTCTCGACCGGCCTTGGGCTTGGGCAGTTCTTTAGCAGTTTCCTTTTGGCAACAGTTTCTGATATCACCAAGAAGGGTGGCCACAGTGGGTGGATTCTGGATAACCTGAATATCTCTCATCTCGATTACTACTACGCATTCTTGGGTCTTCTGGGGCTCCTCAACTTCCTTGTATTTCTGGTGGTGGCTAAATTTTTCGTTTACAATGTGGATGTGAACTCCACAGGAAGCGGAAAATTAGACGTGGTAGCTCTGCCAGGCCAAACCACCAGCTAACTCTATAACTTCAATAGAAGACGATTAATCTATGTGGAAATAAGACCAATGAGTAGTGTTTTGTATGTTCTTCCTTGCTCCATGGCACAGCTCAAAAATCAGGACTTTGGTATTTTAAAGAAGAATTTGTTTGTCAAATATGCATAGTTTTTGTTTGCCTTGCACGAAAAAGAGCCAGAATAGACATCAAGGAATGTGGCCGAAGTGAGATTCTAGTGTTCTTTGTGTCTACCCTTGGCCTAGCTGTAAGCATCTATTGATTGTAACCTTTGTGCCTTTCTTCTAAACCTCTCTCCAACTAAAATCTGAACAGAGGCATCGTAATTGTATATGACTGGCAAAACTCTGTGAAAAGGCTGTCTCACAACTCGTTTCCTTCCGCGATAGCAAGAGGAGTATAGAAATCTTCTTGGCAGCCTGACTTTGAACCAACATGATTTTGTGTTCCTTTTAACGTAAGAAGCTAACCTTCTTTGATCTGTAGTCAAGTGTAGTGCAGCAGGGACGGCTGCTCCATCAATATTTGTATCCATATGGCCGAGCAAACTCGAAATGACATAAGATGGTAGATTATCAGCCCTGTTTCCACTAAGATCCAGTTTCGATTCCGAAAAACTCCTCTCGTCGCTCTAAATTCTGGGTTAACAACGGACACGAATCTCTTTCGGTTCGTCCATTCTTTTATTGTAGTCCATCCAATGTCTATGGTGGATGGTTGAGCCTAAATGAGGAAGGTTTTTGCCATGACTTTCATCTCACGTCACCTGTGACACACATATGACTGAGACTGCCATTCTAATTCTACTTAGTTGTTTATATCTGCAGGGTCAATGCGTTTAGTAGAGCTCTCTAGATGCAACTTTATGGAGGTCAAGGCAGAGCCAAGCCCAAGTAAGTCACAGTAGTAATACTGCTGTCTGTAGCTACTTCGTGGAGCTCGTCCCCCATTGACAAATTGCTCGCTTTGATTTCTTCAACTTTAACCTTTCTCGTCCTTAGAATAGAGGCAAATAGTTTAGAACAATATGGGGAAGAACGGCAACAACGAACACTTGGGTGATGAAAAATCGATCCCATAATGCACACCTTACACCATCATTTACAGGAAGACTGAGAACAAAGGAAGAAACAAACAAACAAATATTCGAATACTTTGACTCATGGCGGACAGTTTGATTCGTGTTTTCTGGCTTGAAGTGCATTGGATCTCATTGTAGCTGTTCAGTTTCAGTATATCTCTCTTTCTCTTTCATTGATACGGTTTGGCCAAATTTGGGAACCTTTTCTTGTTCAATCACTCGCTGTTCAATGGTCGCAGGAGATGGAATCAAAATGGAAGGACTTCACTATGGGGATGCAACAAGACAAACTGAAACCATTTGCCGTTATTTCTTACATCTTCACCTAGACAAGGCAAAATGCAATGTTTTGGCGGCTTTTGGCTATATAAAAAGAAGCCACATGGAGAAGCTAATACCGCAAAAGGAAATACACATGAAACTTTCATGCAGAGTTCTGATACAACATAATCGTCTCCAAGTCGATTCCATCAAAACGTGTCCTGTGCCGCATTTGATCTTCTCTACTCTAGATGGAACCAGTTGCAGCAGAAGAGAAGGTTCAAAGTGATCATGGAGGGCAGGACTATACGGAGGATGGAACTGTTGATCTCCATGGTCGGCCTGTGTTGAGGTCAAGCACTGGGAAATGGAAAGCTTGCTACTTTCTTGTAGGTATGACATTTCCCCTGCTCTCTGTGAACCTGTTGGAGCAGTACTGCTTCTGAAACTGCCTGCTCTTCACTGCCAAAACCAATTGTTTACTTTGGCTGTGCTGTTGTAGGCTATGAAGTGTTTGAAAGAATGGCATTTTATGGGATTGCAGCAAACCTGGTAATATACTTGAGACACAAGTTACATGAAGGCACAGTAGAATCTTCAAACCATGTTACCAACTGGGTTGGCACGGTATGGATGTTGCCCATATTTGGTGCTTATGTTGCAGATGCGCGCCTCGGTAGGTATTGGACTTTTATCATTGCTTCAGGCATCTATCTCATGGTACGCGAAACATGGAACAACGATCAAAAATTCTTTTATAATCTCATCTATACTCTATATGGTTTCTTCTGACTCCAGCTTATTTTTTCTTCATTTCTCCAAATTGCATCAGGGAATGACCCTTTTGACAATGGCAGTTTCAGTCCCTGGCCTGAAGCCTCCATCCTGCGGCGGGAGCGTGAAAGAAGATGAATGTCCATTGAGGGCGTCGGCTGTTCAGAAGGGGGTTTATTACACAGCTCTGTATATAATTGCAGTTGGAACAGGTGGGACCAAGCCCAACATTTCCACCATAGGAGCAGACCAGTTTGATGAATTTGAACCCAAGGAGAAGAAGAGGAAGCTGTCTTTCTTCAACTGGTGGATGTTCAGCATCTTCTTTGGCACCTTGTTCTCAAACACCTTTCTGGTCTACATCCAAGACAATGTGAATTGGAGCATCGGATATGCCATTCCGACGGTGGGTCTTGCCATCTCGATCGCTGTGTTTCTGACCGGGACCCCATTCTACAGGCACAGGTTGCCTGCAGGCAGCCCTTTCACCAAGATGGCACAGGTGTTTGTGGCTGCCCTCAGGAAGTGGAATACCACTGTGCCAAATGACTCAACCGAGTTGCATGAACTCAGGTTGGATGACTACTCAAGAGCAGGAAATTTCCCAGTCCACCATACCACTCCTCTGAGGTATGAAGCTTCTTTCTTTCTTTCTTTCTGCACTAACAAACAATAAACCTGTTCGATTGACATTCGATCGATGCGATGGTTGCAGCTTCCTCGACAAAGCAGCAGTGAAAGACAAGTCGTCAAGTTCACCATGGATGGTGTGTCCTGTAACTCAAGTTGAAGAAACCAAGCAGATGATCCAGCTGCTCCCAATCTTCACAGCCACAATCGTTCCCAGCATCGTCATCGCTCAGATACACACCTTGTTCATCCAGCAAGGCACCACCTTGGACAGAAAGGTCGGCCCGCATTTCAGCATCCCACCAGCCTGCCTCACTGTGTTTGTCACCCTATCCATGCTCATCTCCCTGGTCGCCTACGACCGGATCCTCGTGCCAGCAGCCAGGCGATACACCCGAAACCCAAGAGGGATCAGCATCCTGCAGAGGATGGGGATCGGCCTCTTCTTGCAGACAATCACCGTGGCAGTGGCTTCCCTAGCAGAGACGAGGAGGCTCAACGTCATAGCACAACATAACATCACGGGGAAACAGGACACGGTCCCTCTCACCATCTTCCTCCTCCTCCCCCAGTTTGTGCTCATGGGGATCGCAGATGCGTTCGTGGAAGTGGCCCGGATCGAGTTCTTCTACGACCAAGCGCCCCAAGGGATGAAGAGCCTTGGGACATCCTACTTCACCACCGGCTTGGGGGTTGGCTACTTCATGAGCAGCGTTTTCCTGAGAACTGTGGCCAGCGTTTCCAGCAGGCATGCCAGGAGAGGGTGGATCCTGGACAATTTGAACCTCTCCCATTTGGACTACTACTACGCACTTTTGGTGATCTTGAGCCTTGTCAACCTGCTCTACTTTCTTCTTGTTTCCAAGTTCTACGTGTACAACGCGGCCATAAGAAGCAACAAGAAGGATGTTGATGTTGATGATGATGCCAGTGAGGAGGAGACACTGCAGTGCAAGTGAGGAGGTATCCTTTCAATGGTTGTATCTTTCAAGGATCAAAAACCAACATGTATTGTTTTATATAAGCAGGAATGGTGAAGGAAATGGAGGGAGAGAAGTTTCCTCTTTCTTTTTTTTTTTTGGTAGAATGTAGACTTATTAATTTAATGTTTTCAAATTATCGAATAAACAAATCTCTATAATTAAACAATAGAGTATTGTGGATGTCAATTGGATTCTATATTGAATATCATATTAGACTATTATAAATGTTATGGAATGAGCTATTTATCTCTCTCTACATTGATAATGAGAATAGGCTCTTTCACATTCTTTTTTGTGTCTAGAATATAGACCTATTTATCTTTTTAAATTCTCATATAAAAGCATTGGTTGCTCTTTTACTATTCATATTTCATATTTTAATTTTACCTTTTAACTTATGTTGTCCATATTTCATTTCTCTTTCTATTTCTTATATTTTTGTTTGTTGTTCTTAAATCAATTTATTTTTCGTATTTGATTTTGTATTTTCTCATCTCTCTCGATCGAGATAAGCTTCAGTATTTGATTTTGTATTTTTAATCATCTCTCCGGCTCGAGGTCATATATGATGTTAACGATCTCTCTCCCAGTCGAGAAGAACGAAAGTAGCCTTGGAACCAACGAAACTAAATACTAGGTTCTTCCGTCTTTTTCCTTTGCTTTTGTTGATCTATTATATATATTTTTTCTTCATCTTAGTTGACAATTCATGGTAAATTCTAAGTTTATCGTTTTGTTTGTTGGGCTAAAACAGACGCATAATCTATTGGTTAATTCTCTAATTAATAGTAGTCAAACTCCAAATCAAACAAATACTTCTTCACCAATAGTATGTACATCGTCCTCCTCTGATTCATAGCCTCATTTGCCAGAGTGCAAATTGCTACGGAGTTCTCTCACAATATCTTTGCGATTTTTCTTCCTGCTTTTATAATAGCCTTATGAATTATATTTAACAAGATCACTACGAAACACAAGCGAGCATGCCAATATCTAGTTATTAAATAAACAAATTTCTAATATGAAACAATGGAGTATTGTGGATTTTATTGGATTCTATGTTGGATGCCACATTATGACTCTATATCAAAAGCCCGCCCCCGCTAGCTAACATAGAAAGAGATTACCAGATATCATACATAAAAAGTCATTTCTCTTAAAAGCTTATTCTCTTATGCTTTTTTGTATTTTCTCTAAGCGTGCAACGACTAGCTTATTGATTTGAAAACCTTCCATTTTGTCTTGATATAGTTTCCTACAATACAAGATTGACACTAATACACAAAATATAAATCAGAGCAATTCATTTTTTCTTACCCGTTTTAGCCATCTATAGAAAGGGTTAAGACATTCCTAACAAGTGTCTTTGCATTTCTACAAGTGTCTTTGCAAATATTCAATTATTGATGCTTGCCCTTTGTACTTGACAGTTGATCGATTAACAAAAAGATAGTACTTAATGTTTTAACTTAACTATAAAAAAAGCAAACAAATCAATTCTTAACAAATCAATTAGTTTGGCAATGAAGGCCAATAGGTACGGCTGGAGCGGGAGTTTGGGTTTGGCCACTTTGAAAACTGCAAAGGCCGGAGCGGGAAGGGACCCGCCAATCCAAAGGATCTTAAAAAGAAAAATGATTTCGAATAAATAAATATCAGTCGCCCCTAATTAATTAATTAATTAATTAATAAGTAGCTAATTAGCCAGGCTGGGCGCACGAGCTATAACGGTCATATTTACTCCTTTATCCAACAATCGTAGACCAGATGATGAAATAAAAGAAAACAATTGTTCTCAAATTAGGAAATTGAATTAAATAAACAACAAAAAAACCCAAACGACCGTTTTCTTGAGAAAAAGTGACGTCGACCGTTTTCCTTTCCCCTCTGTTTGCCAGTCTGCCCCCGCCTTCACTCCAGACGCTCCCTCTGTTTCTCGTTCTCCCACCCTCTGTTTCTCTCTGCAACAGACCATGGCCCAGCGGAGAACCGAATCAGAAACGTCTTTCTCTTCCTTTCTTTCTAGATAGGAAGAATCGGGAAGGCAGGCGAGACTACGGATAATAACATCCCTCTGTATTTTCCGCCATTCTCCTCCTTCGTCGATCAAGAGAGGGAAAGAAAGAAAGAAAAAAAAAAGAGTGTGGGATTTCCTCAAAATGGGTTGCTTCTCAGCGTGTTTTGGTTCCTCCAAAGATCGCAGAAGGAGATGCAGAAAGCAGCAGCACAAGAAGCACAACCAGGCTCAGCCTCCGTACCAGGTAGATAGATGAAACTTCCAAGATTTTTTATCGCCATTACTGGGGTTCTTTCACTTTACCCCTTGTTTGGCTCTAGGGAAACCATATGGGAAAAGAGGGGAAATGTTGAACCACGGATTCTCTTTCTGGCTTGTTGCTGACTAGGGTTTTCGTTCTTATTCTTTCTTCTTGATTGGGGGTGTTGCTTGCTGCTGCTGCAGAGGAATGCTGATAAGGATCTTGAGCCATCAAATCTTCCCGTGGAGCAGAACCCAATTTCAGAGAAACAACCAGTGGTCATCAACACAGCGGTAGAGGAAATCCAGTGAGTAACGATAGGAGAAGAATAAAGTCTAAGCCTTTATGAGCTTTTCTCCTGTAATCAATCGTGAATTCACTTCGCTCATCGTCGTTTACAATGAATGTTTTGGAACAGGGAGGAGCAGCCACAGTGGCAATCGAGTCCGGTGGGTCTTCGCAAAAAAGTGACCTTTGATTCCAATGTGAAGGCATACGAGCCTGTTTCAGTACAAGAATCCACCGAATTTCAGAACGCTTCTGCTCCCAAGAAACAAGTCGACAATGAAAATGGCGATGATCAGAACAAATACACAAAGCCAGACCAATCCGATAACTCCTCTGAAGCAAGTTCTTTGACCCCAAGCTCCAGCTCTTCCTACCCTTCCAACCATCGGTACCAGAACTGCAGAGACAGCGATGATGACGAATTCGATTCCGATGACCAAACTGATTCTGATTCTGAAGACGGGGATGAGGTTGATGGGGAGCTCGACGATGACATCTACGATGAGCCGACCACTAGGTTCGCCTCTGCTGCGGCCAACGGCGATGCCTGCTTCCCAGAGCTGGGAATTGAGAAAGCCGGGCAGAATGTGCGAGACAGGAGTGCGTATGTGCATCCAGTGCTGAACCCTGTAGAGAATCTGACCCAATGGAAGGCTGCCAAGTCCAAAAAATCAGCACCACCGCTTCCTTCACCACCACAATTGAATCACCAGCCTTCTGATAAGGAGAATGACCAAGAACCCAGCTTTAAGTTGAAATCCAAGAAGACAATGAACCCAGAACAAGTAGTAGCAGTGGATGCAAGCTTATCCAATTGGTTGAGTTCATCATCGTCGTCGTCATCATCAGACTGCTGCACTACAACGCCAAACAAGCAGCCTACCACTGCTACTACCTCTTCCACCACTCCACCGCAGGTGAAGAGCCCTGGCAGTTGGGCGGGATCAGCGTCCCCTAAGAGCTTTGAGGACAGGCCGATCCTCGGGGCGTTGACGGTGGAGGAGATCAGGCAGATGTCTGCATCAAATTCTCCAATTAGGAAGTCACCTGGCCACAGCCCTGATGACAAGTTCATAATTGGGAGCGTTGGGAGCTACTGGAGGAATGAGAGTGATTGTAGTCAGCCTGGGAAGAAGAAGAAGCAAGTCAGCAACTCTGCCTCCCCGGCATCGTCGTTTAAAGGAATACCCAACACAACCAGCAAGTACAGAGAGGTAATGATGCGTTTGATTGTGAATATTCATCACCATTGAACAATAATGGGATTGGGACTGTGATTGTGTAGATGTTGACTGGGTTTTCCATGATGGTGTGCAGGATAAGAGAGTGAAGTGGCACTCGACTCCTTTTGAGACCAGGCTGGAGAGAGCTTTGAATGGCACCCAGAGTTAGTGAGGGGTTCCTTCCTGTTGCTGTTTTGTGGAGTTGTGTTTGTGAATAATGATGTATTTGAGAGAGATTTTTTTGGTCTTGTTTATGTTTGTGGTGGTGGTGGAAGAATTTGTTCAGAAAATCAATACTGGCTTGCTTGCTGTTGTAATCATCCTTTTTTTCCAAAATACATAGTTGTTATGTGTAATACAGATACTTGTTTCATGAGATATTCCGATAAAATTAAAATTTGAAGTCTACGTTTTAACGATATTTAATTTTTAGAATTTTCTGATTCACGCACTATATTATCATTCCGTTACATTTATTAGTGATTTGACATTAGAAGAGGAGTAAGATGGTTTGGAGGTTGGGATTCTCCAAATACTTGTTTCATGAGATCTTCCGGTAAAATAAAAAAAAAAATTCGTTGAAGTCTACGTTTCAACGCTATTTAATTTTTAGAATTTTCTTATTAACGCACTATGTTATCATTCCGTTAAATTTATTAGTGATTTGACATTAGAAGAGGAGTAAGGATGGTTTGGAGGTTGAGATTCTCCAAATTTATGCAATTAATCAATTTGTGTATTGTAATTTGATATATTGATTAAATGTATGGATTTGAAAAATAAATTATTTGGAGATTCACAACCACATCGAATAGAGATATGACCAGACTAAAAACAAACAAATTGAGGATCAAAAGTATGTTTTGTTCATATGGTTCGATTCAGTCTGGTCCAAATTCAATTTCGGTCCATCTTTTTTTTGGGTAAATGCCACATTTGGTCACTGGAATTACTAAATAGTGTTATGTTTAGTCACTAGAAAAAATTAATATCAATTTTGGTCACTCGAATCACTAAATCATGTCACATTTAGTCATTCTTCCGTTAGTCTCCGTCCAACTTCTGTCACTCGATTTTTTTATTTGAATGTCACTCGAATTACTGAAACATGTTACATTTAGTCACTCTCCCATTAGTTTCCGTCCAACTCCATTAATGTCACTCGAGGTTAAATAATATCTTCACATGGACTATGGGCTAAGACACGAATTACGAGGTTCAAAGAGGGATTGAAAACATTCAAGATGTGTGAAAATGGCTCCAGAAGAAAAGCCTATGGGTTTGTTGATGAGAAATGGATTAGGAAGATATTCAATTATGACCATTCAACAATAAAGGTTCAAATTCGAAGATATAAGGATCAATTGGGTGTGTTCTTGATGGATAAATGGGCTACTGCAAACTTCAAGCAAGTCGTGCCCATGCATGGAGGAAAATGGGGAGCTAGTTCATTACATATTAATTGAAGATTGATGTTTTGCATGAGGAAAGTGCACGATGTCATTCAAGGACCAGAATTGTAAACGAACATGGCTCTACAAGCAAAGGCTACGGGTTTGTTGATGAGAAATGGGTGAGCAAGATATTCAATTATGACGATCCAACAATAACGGTTCAAATTTGAAGATATAAGGATCAATTGAGTGCGTTCTTGATGGATAAATGGTCTACTTCGAACTTCAAGTGAATCGTGACCATGCATGGACGAAAATGGATAGCAAGTTTTTTACATATTAATTGAAGATGGTCGTGTTGCATGAGAAAAGTGCACGAAGTCATTCAAGGACCAGAATCGTTAATGAACCATTAAGCCAAAACCGTTGAGGACTTTCTTGTTGCCCAAAAGAGATATTCTTGATGCCCCAGTCATCCATCCTTGATATCCAAGTCGTCCAAATGGAAAAAGGAGAAGGAAAGATATTAGTTAGCTGCCAAAGAGCTTCTTTTAGCATTAAAAATGACTTTATGATGACTTAGTTGCTAAGGATTCCTTTATCATTAAAAGTGTTATATTCATTATTTAATTAATATTATTATTACTATTATGTTTTCTAGTTAGTTTGGGACATGTTTTCCTATTCTTAAAACTTAAAAGGTTGTATTTATGCTTTTGTAACCTCTATAAATAGAGGGCTTAAGACATTCGAGTTTATAACAAATAAATAGACAAATCTTTGGAAAAAATCCCATAATACACTAATTATTAAAAAAAATTCCCAAAATACAATACTTATAAAATTATTTCCCAAAATACAGCAGTTTGGTTATCATCGCTGCAAACCAAAACAGTGAAAGCAATCACCGTTTTTGACCAAAACGGTGATAGTATCATCGCTTTGGACCAAAACAGTGATGCTATCACTGTCTTGGACAAAAGCGATGATCCTTTCACCGTTTTGGACCAAAACGGTGATTGCATCACTGTCTTGGTTCAAAGCGATGAAAGCATCATCGCTTTCAACCAAACCGGTGATTCAATCACCGTTTTGGTTTAAAACGGTGAAAGGAGACCTTATCACCGCTGATGTGTAAAGCGATGATATCATCGCTGATGTGTAAAGCGGTGATAATTGACACGTTTTACCGGCCTGGTAGGTGGAAATTAGGTCACAGCTACCAAGCAATCACCGCTGAGGACAATGGCGGTGAACACATCACTGTTTTCGTCCAAGGCGGTGATTGCAAAAAAAAAATTTCTATCAATACTGACCTCCACTTCCCCTATTGCTACTTTACAGAAAATTAGTACAAAAATTAGTGTTTTATTAGTCGTTTTCTCAGTTGGTTTACTGCTCAAGAAACTCGTCGGGATTCGGTATGTTATAATTATGTAATGTTTACATGTTGATGTGTTAGTAATTTATATGTCTGTATTTAGTGAATTGCGGTTATTGGAAAATATGTTATGATATATTTAGATTAATTATGATATGATAGATGTTAGTTAATTAGTTATGAATTTAGATGAATTTGATTAGTTTTCTCATGATAGATCGGGAGTCGGTATGTTATAATTATGTATTGTTTACATGTTGATGTGTTAGTAATTATATGTATGTATTTAGTGAATTGCGGTTATTGGAAAATATATTATGATATATTTATATTAATTGTGAAATGATAGTAGTGAATTAGTTATGATTTAGATGAATTTGTTTAGTTTTCTCATGATAGATCAATTTCATGCGTTTGTTTATGGGTTTGGATGATATTGTTTTTGTATCCCTAATGTACTAATTATATACTATACTTATTTATTATAAATTGCAGACATGGTTAAATTTAAGAAGTTTCGGCTTATTATTCGGTGGAATGGTCGGGTGACAAACTCGAACATTGGCATCGACTATGAAAATGGCGAATCCACTATGCTAAAAATTGAGTCGAGATTCTCGTGGCAAGAACTTCATGACATTTGTGCAGAAAGGACTTGTACGGGCGGGCAAATGAGAGTTGGTCAAATTGCCTACCGCTATCCAAACATGAGTGCTGGCGGAGTTGTGTACGAAAAAGTTGTCATAAACGATGATGACTCGGTGAACATGATGATACAGTTCCTATCTGACAACGGGTTGCGGCTTGCAGAGGTGTATGTCGAGACCGAGCCAGTCGGTGAAACTCATTCTCACCAGTATTCTTGTGATGATGGTTTTGCAGGAGGGTATGGCTGGGGTGGTAGTTCAAGTAACTACGAAGGAGGTAACTACGAAGGAGGTAACTACGAAGGAGGTACTTCTGCAGGAGGGTATGGCTGGGGTGGTACTTCAAGCAACTACGGAGGAGGTAGTTATGAAGGAGGTGGTGGTTGGGAAGAATACGTGCAACCAACTGAGACGGCCGTCAATATCGTTCAGCCCGACGGTGATCAATGGCCTGCTTGGGGTCCAGAGTGGGCTGACATTGGGAACAACCTTCGATCTGGGTGTTCTTCGCATGACCAACAAGACGATGTTGGTTATGCTGGCAACGATGACCATCCTGAGTCGAGCTATCCATTCGCCTCTAGTGACAATGAAAGTGAGGAAGATTTGAGATCAGTCAGTGAGGAGGAAGATAAGGACGAGATAGACGATATCGATGACAGAGAGGTGGCGTTCCGTCAGGCACCAACACCTTACTACACAGAGGTTCCTGATCAATTTTTATATGGTCAGAACGATGCCCCTGACTATCGGCCCATGCCTGTGTATAATCCGACTGCTCCTTTGGAAGTGGGTATGGCGTTCACTTCGAAAGCTGATGTGCAAGATGCTTTTAGCGAAGAAGCCATGCGCCGTAACTTCGAATGGAAGGTAAAATATTCTGACACCAAACAATTGCATGTCATTTGTAAGAATGCTGGAGAGGGTTGTGAGTGGCAACTTCGGGCTGCATATATGAAGAGAAAGGGCATCTGGGTCATGCGAACAGTAGAGAACAACCACAGATGCTCCTCAACCATACTTTCACAGGATCACCGGCAACTGAAAGCAAAAAAGGTGGCGAGAACCATGAAGCACCTAATCGAGGCACAACCGGATATCAAGATAAAAGCTATTATGGCCGAGGTGAAGGATCGACATTCCTACACCATAAGGTATAAGAAGGCGTGGCATGGGAAGCAGAAGGCCATGGCTGAGGTCTACGGTGATTGGGATGACTCGTATGCTTTACTCCCTCGACTAATGTCCGCAATGGAGGAGTCCAACCCTGGGACGGTATTCGTGCCGTGGTACAACAACGTGCAAACTGAAGATCAAGTTCGTGTACTGAACGAGTTGATGTTTCATCGTCTGTTCTGGACATTCAAACCATGCATTGACGGGTTTCCCTTCTGCATGCCAGTGATTCAGGTATATTACGGACTCAAAATATTGTACTAGTTCATTACCTTACTAAGTAAAATTTTTAGTAACTAATTATTCATTTTTAACAGGTTGATGGAACTTTCCTTACTGGGAAGTATAAAGGAACTCTTCTCACAATGTGGCCATGGTTCAGGAAGTTGAGTTTGTTGAGACGGACGAAGCTCTTCAATGTTTTCTCTCACCCTTCTTCTGCTCCTCCGTGGGGGCTCTTGTGGGGGCACGATCCTCTCATCAGCACGGAATGACGGTCGGGGCGGTGCAGGCATTGGAGGGTATAATACGACATCCCTCCTTTGCTCTCGAGTACAAGAAAGCAGGTTGTTGAAAAGCCTACGCAAAAAAGAGGTCTTCCGCTCATCCATGGTGGGTGCACTCTCGACAGTGTGCTTGGCATGTTCCAAACCGTCAACCTAATAAATTGTTGTAAAAAATTAACTAACATACACATGTAATCACACCACCAAAAATTAACTAATTAATTAACATTCTAGCTAATATAGGCATGTAATCATACTTCCAAAAATTAACTAATTAATTAACATTCTAGCTAATATAGGCATGTAATCACACTTCCAAAAATTAACTAATTAATTAACATTCTAGCTAATATAGGCATGTAATCATACTTCCAAAAATTTAGACAAAGAGGCCAAAATGGAATTCACTTACCACTGCGCCCCAAACAGCACCTTGCTTTGACACCCATCTGAGCGTGAAATTTCGATACCACCGCATGTAGCCATCGTGGTACCCCATTGGCCTTGTCTCCGGCATCCCTTGGACCACCCACTGATTTCGATTCTCCCATATGTTGATGTAGAATTCATGCTTCTTTTGCCAATCCTTTTTGGTGTGGCGTAGGTCAATGGCGTGGAGCTCCCTGAACCCTTGAGGTGGGGATGCTGGAATTGGTTGCTCCAATCGATATTGCCTCAAAGATCGATCGGGAAGATGCCATTCCACCATGTGGAAGCAGATTAAGGGCACCTTGCACAACCATGTCTCTTCATCCTCGGGACGTCTAAGACGATGCAACTCAACCACTTCATTTGGATATGGGTCCCATACCGCCTACAATCATTATAGTTCATGGAATTAGTACAAATTATATCCACTCCACCTAAAAAATTGAAAATGATGAAATTTAAGTATTTTTACCTGGTTCCACCAAGGCTTATCGAATTCAGCACGATAAAACAGCAAAGAGTGTTCGGGCTGGTGGTCGTTTGTATTTGCTCCGATCCACCTAATTAAGCAAAAGTACGTATATAAGCAATTTTTATGGCATAGATGTTTACTTGGCAATAATCTAAAATAGCTAAATAGGATTTGGTTAGAAAAATTCAAAATTTGCTAACTTGGAAGATATCTAAATTCACTAAATACTATAATTGCAGACCTAAAATGTCACTTAATTTCCTTGCTTGAAAGATATCTAAGTTCACTAAAATTCACTAAATTCGCTTACTTGGAATAGATCTAAATTCACTAAAATTCACTAAATTCGCTTACTTGGAATAGATCTAAATTCACTAAAATACTACCATTGCATATCTAAAATAAATTAAACTTAAATTAAACTTACTTGAAACCATATGGGGGATTTGCTACAAATCGTAGCTCATCGTCTGGCAACCAGAATTCCCGAGGGTCTCGAGGTGCTAAAAACGGAAGATGCTCCCATGCCCAGAGTTGGAGTATGAACATCGCACCACCAGCTTGTTTCGCTCCCAACCTCGAGAAAGTACACAACTCTCGGTAGATCCCAGCCAAGACGGCCGACCCCCAACTTTTTCTCCCGATCTCGTCCCAGTCACCGAGGAGCATATTTAACCACATGCCTTGTATCCACCGGTTTGACTTGTCGGGGAACAGAAACCCACCAACCAAACCAATTAGGTAGACACGTGCATACCGCTCCACCTGATCTTCAGGAGTGTCGGGGCCTATGTTAACCTCCATTTGGATGTGGTCAACAAGCCACGGGACTGATACTTGCCCCGCATTCAGTGGTGGATGCCCATGCCCGTCGACGGGCGTGGTGGTCGGCATGTTGAACCCCAAACGCTCTAGAATCAACGGCCCCCAACCATCATTCGGTTTTTTCGAGCTGTCGATGATGGCATCTCCGGTGATCGGGAGCCCGGTGAGGATGGCAACATCTTTGAGGGTGATCGTCATTTCACCCTCGGGAAAGTGGAAGGTATGCAGCTCGGGGCGCCATCACTCTGCCATTGCCGTCAGCAGATCGTTGTCAATATCAAGCCTCGTAAAGTGCCTCAGCATGTGCAATCCCGTCCTCTCTATATAGGGTTGCAGTCGATCATGCCAACGGGGCAATCGACATGTCCCTCGATGAGCGATGAGAATAAGTGATTCCTACAAAACAAAAAACACAATATTATTAGTCAATACAAAGCAAAATAAAAACTTTAAAACTATTGAAATAAATTTAGTGTCTACCGGATTATTGTTCCAAATTGAACGGGAGCGATGCTGATCTTGCCCGGTTAAATACCTTCGATCCCTTGGGCCAGGATCGATATACAATCGAGGGTCGTATATCTCAGCACCCATCTATAAAAAAATATAAAATCAAATCAATTTAAATTTTAGCACCCATGTAAAAAAAATCACAAAAGAATATAATTAATTTACGTACTCTCAAAGCCTCTTCGTCCATTTTTTGCCGAAAAGCTAGCGAGAGTATCGACAAAACAAAACAAAAACTAACTCTAGTAATTCTTTCTGATGCGGAAGATCGGACTTAGCCGCAACCACAGAGCATACTTAGAACGAAACTAGAGGAAAGTAAAGGAGGGAGAAAGAAGTATAAGATTTTGGTGTGGTTTGGAATGAGGGGGGGGGGGGGGGGGGGGGGAGTGGTATTTATAGGGGAAAGGGGGGGGAAAGGGCCGCTGGAAAAACTACCAGGGACCAATCACCGCGTCGGACGAAAGCAGTGAAATCACTGCGTCCAACAAAGGCGGTGATGGCCTGGATAGCTGACGTGGCGCGGCGTGAGGCGTCGGATCGTGGAGAAAAACCACAATCCGCGCCTCACTGCATCCAACGGCAGCGGTGAACGCGCGGGTGGCGTGGATCGCTGACGTGGAAAGCGGGGTTATCACCGCTTTGGTCTTCAGCGGTGAAGTCCCCGCCCGCGTCCACGTCAGCGATCCGCGCACTTTCACCGCTTTTGGATCCAACGGTGAATATGTTCACCGCGTCTCAAATCTACGGTGAGTTAATCACCGTTAGGGGTGAACAAACACACCCGCAAACCGACTCACCCGTCCAACCCGACCCAACCCACCCGTATTTATCGCTAAAACGAAGGTTTTGGGTTGGGTGAGGATTTTCTTTTGCACAACCCGCCTCTTTTGGGTTGGGTTTGGATTTTTTATTACACAACCCGTAAAACCCGACCCAACCCGTGTTCCAATTATTGGTATGAGTTCGTAACCAAAAAAAATATTTATGTCGTATATAGTCATACTTATGAGAAAATTGAGATATTTTTTCATGTTTTTCTCTTAAGGTCTCCCTAATCTAATGCATTCTTCGGCTTAAAGTTTAGACATAAATTTAATATAGCTATGATTCACGTAATTTTTTTTCTTGTGTACAATTTTAATAGAATAATATATTTTGGATGCGTTCATTTGTAACCTTTTTAGCCTATTTCAACAAATGTCATGAAAAAAACTAGACATAAGTTGAAGTAAATCGAATTTTATTAAAATTCAAAAAACATTTGTGAATTTTGATACCTTTCACCTTGATTTATTCGTTTGAATTTTTAATTAGTTATAAAATATTTTTATGATGTAGAATAATTACATATTTTTGTGTTGGGTTGGGTTTTTACTTATAAATATCGCCAACCCGACCCAACCCAATTAGAAACAAACCGTAGGGTTTAGATTTTTTTGGGTGGGTTTGTGTTTAATATTTCCCAAACCGTAGTGCATGGGTCGGGTGATTAAAATGTCTAAACCCGGACCACCCGACCCATGTACACCCCTAATCACTGTCATTGACAACAGTGATGCTATCACCGTTTTGGTCAAAAAAGGTGATTTCCATCACTGTTTTTGTTTGCAGCGGTGATAACCAAACTGCTGTATTTTGGGAAATGATTTTATAAGTATTGTATTTTGGGAATTTTTTTTAATAATAAGTGTATTATGGGATTTTTTCCCAAATCTTTGATACATCAAGTTCGATTGATAATATTCCTTTGGTTTTGACTTTTGGGTGGAATCTCAAATCTTTTGTCTTTCTAGTTATTTCATGGAATCAAGTAGCTAAAGACATCAACGTTATCGATATGTCCGTCATCCCTACCGTGGGTCACATCGTATACTTGATCCCTAGCTCCGCAACGGTTAGGTGCTCGAGTTATTTTCCATCTTTTTGCTTATTGTTTTGCTACCGCTTCTTTGTTTGCGTGGTTTGGTTCGATCTGTCAAGGATTTCAAGGCTCAACGTATGTCACATACCTGCCAATCCTATTATCCACACGCCCATGGCTATGGTAGCCGCACCTCTGCTCATGCCTAAGCGGGTTGGTCAACTCACATTCATACTTCTCTTCTGACGTTGCTGCTACCCTTTGGCTACTCGGTCTCCTCGGTCGCTACTACATGCTCTGCTCTCTACGCCTGGTCGTCGGCACGATGGTCTTTGCTACCACCTGCGGTTTGGTCATCCACGCCATAGCCTAGGTCGCCACCTTAATTTTGATAGAGATTATTTTCAGAGAATTCATTGTTCTATAATTGCTTAATGAGAAACTTTCACTGATTATATAGAGTATATAATCCGATAAATTTCCACTAATTACCCAAACTAATACTTCCTAACAAAAGCATACAGATACTCCAACAAAAACCCCAAAGTATCATCCAAAGTATTAAAGGAAAAATAAACTGACATGCTCGTCTTTCTCATTAAGAAAAGTGTCAGAACAGAAGCGTGCAATCAATAATCCAAACCAACACGAACGAACACAAATTTAACGTGGTTCACTAACACAATGTGTGCTAGCTAATCCACGGGCAAGGGAGAACAAATTTCACTGATTTTGAGGAGAGTACAGGTTACAAACCAAATTCCAAACGGACAAACCAAACAAACTAACCTGAGTGGCCCCTACTACAGACTAGGGTGATGAAGAGTATTTATAGAACTCTTCTCCTAATCCCAAACAGAAAACCAAACACCTTTTCCCAAACATACAAGGAAAAGGTCAAACAAAGCCCAAACACAAACCCAAACAAAATAGGCCCAAAACACAAAACAAACCCAAATCAAATTCAAGTCATATTCTAACAATCTCCACCTTGACTTGAATTCTCTCTCTAATACCAAATGTACAAGATGCAACCAAAGTTGCCAGATGTACCCAAATCCTCCAAATTAGCTGTACCAGAATCTCCCATGCCTCCAAATGCCCCTAAGGGCGGTCAACAACTCAAACCATTCGGCAAGTCCAATCCATATTGAGACTTGCCATTCAGAACCAACTTGGTGCACTTATCACCAACAGAACCTTGTAGACTATACAAGGCACCCCGCTTGACACCTTTCAAAATCACCTTAGAACCCTTGTAGACAGACAACACTCCACCTTCACCTTTGAAGCTGAAACCCTTGTTGTCGAGTAGACTCAAAGATATCAGATTCTTAGTCATTTCTGGAATATGTCTAACATTGTTCAAGGTGCGAACAGAACCATCATGTGTCCTCATCCTGACGGAGCCTCTTCCAACAATCTTACAGATAGCACCATTGGCCATAGAAACATGTCCTCCATCTATCTGTTCATAAGTTGAAAAACACTCCATGCTTGGACACATATGATAATCAGCTGCAGTATCTAAATACCACACATCCTGATGATGTACCTGTTCATTCACTGCTAAGGCTAAACCATCTTCAGAATCAGAGTTAGTTTCTTCCGCCACAGCAGCAGATGATTCCTTCTTCTCCTGATATTTCTTCAGTTTAGGACAATCAAATTTCCAATGTCCTTTCTCCTTACAGTAATGACATATATCATCCTTCAAACCAGCAGAATTCGAATTTGTATTCATCTTCCTATTACTAGATTGTTGTCTCCTACTACTCGTAGCAGCCAACCCAGATGCCTGATTTTCCAAACCTGAACCGGACGCCTTATGTCGAACCTCTCTAGTATGTAGAGCAGATCTGACATCTTCCAAAGACAAACTATCTTTCCCAGCAATAAAAGAATCCACAAAATTCTCATATGACTGTGGCAAAGATACTAACAGAATTAAGGCAGCATCCTCATCATCTATTTTAACATCAATATTCCGCAGATCTAGCAAGATAGTATTGAGTTGATCTAGATGATTCCTGAGAGACGTACCTTCCTCCATACGCAAACTGAACAAACGTTGCTTCATATGCAACTTGTTGGTTAAAGACTTTGTCATGTATAGACTTTCAAGCTTCAACCACAAACCCGCAGCAGTCTTCTCAGCAGCAACCTCAGTGATGATGTCATCAGCCAAACAAAGCAAGATTGTAGAGTGAGCTTTCTCCTCCAAAGTAATCCACTCTTCTTCATCTATACTTTCCTTCTTCGATTTTTCAGACAACGGAGCCCACAAACCTTGTTGTTTCAACAGTGCTTGCATCTTGATCTGCCACAAACTGAAACTGTTTCTTCCGGTAAACTTCTCAATCTTCATACTGATAGCAGCCATTCTTACTATCAAACAAACTCCAACCAAACTCCACAAAGCAAAACTTCAGTCCAGCGCCAAATTCCCAAAACCGCAACCATAGGCTCTGATACCACTTGTCAGAACAGAAGCGTGCAATCAATAATCCAAACCAACACGAACGAACACAAATTTAACGTGGTTCACTAACACAATGTGTGCTAGCTAATCCACGGGCAAGGGAGAACAAATTTCACTGATTTTGAGGAGAGTACAGGTTACAAACCAAATTCCAAAAGGACAAACCAAACAAACTAACCTGACTGGCCCCTACTACAGACTAGGGTGATGAAGAGTATTTATAGAACTCTTCTCCTAATCCCAAACAGAAAACCAAACACCTTTTCCCAAACATACAAGGAAAAGGTCAAACAAAGCCCAAACACAAACCCAAACAAAATAGGCCCAAAACACAAAACAAACCCAAATCAAATTCAAATCATATTCTAACAAAAAGCGACTGAGAAACTGGGTTTCTAACATTATGGTTTACAGTCTGATTACTATGGGTTGTGGTCATCGGTGTGACATGCTCGTCTTTCTCATTAAGAGGCTAATAAGAGGCGCTACCGTTGGAGGATTTATTCAATTCAACACCGATTGTGTTTGTGGAGAATTGATTGTGCACCGGCTACAACAATATCGACAAGGTGATCCATCAATTTTGCCCCCTTATCTATCTTTTTAGTGATTTGCTACATTCATAGACACCCCAAGGTGGGAGAACGGAGTCCACATAGTAGTACTCATCGAAAAACAGGAGAACCGTAGTAACGAAGTCTAAACAATTCAAATCAAGTTCCACAATCAAAAAGGATTTCAAGTTTACTCATTTGTTTGTTTTTCCCTAATCTATACATATTCATCAGTCAGCGAGTCCATTTTTATTGTTTGCTTCAATTTATTTCAAAATGCGTTCTCTCAATTCTTATTAAGATACTTAGATGTTCCTATTCGTGGAATCTCTTATACCATGATTGATTTTTGTCAACTGTTACTTTTTTTCATCACATGAGAATTAAGCCTACGATTTTTTTAGTCTATGTTCCTCACGTATTAGTTTATTCCCTTTCACAATCACATGTAACCTTCACATTGTTGGATTGACGCGAGAGAGGGGTTCCTCTGGTTTTTGTTAATTTTCATGAATCCTCATCCCGCCAATGGAAGCCCCTTCCTATTCTGATCCCATCCCTATATTCTTTTTGCCCTCTTTTGGTTTCAGAGCTGAGAAAGGCAGCTAGTGGTAGGCAGTTGAAAACAAGAGACCATTTTCCAAGACCAAAAAACTCAAACTCTACATAAGGAGGCAATGTTCGCTGATGAATAACATACATACATACATATACGTATCTCAATCTTCATTTTACAATCTTCAAACTTCAACTCTATCTCATGACCTGAAGAACATTTGAAACCCAAAAAACCAACAAAAACAGGCCTCCTCGCCAACTGATGGAAGATGTCTAATGGTCAGAGAAGAAACCAGAAAAGTATTGTGGAGGAAACAGTGCCTAGCACTCGACCCCACATTGCTTAAGAATTGGACCAGTTTGCTTGGGCAAGAAGGGATCAATCCTGACCCAAACCAACGAGAAAATTGAAGCCAGGAGAATGGACCACAGGACAACTATGGTAGGAGTCCTGTTTTGCCTTCCCATCAGACCTTTGAGGAAAGGGTAGAGATGGACAATGACCCAGAAGGCGAAGAAGAGCTTCCCGAACAAAGGTCCCCATGATCCGTACCCATTGTTGATTGCATCAGACACTCCTGCAACAACCCCTACCAGGTTGAGGATGATGAGTGTGGTTGGCGGGATGAGAAGGGTAGTCCATTTGAATATGTACAGATCTCCAAACTCCGTATCATCGGCTGCTTTTGATGTGACGGTGAAGTTCGTGTCAACTCCCCCTAGCACCTTGAGAAGGCCTTGAAAGACAGCAAAGAGATGGGCCGAGACTCCACCGATGACCCAGAACTGCTCATTGCGCCACAGGTCTTCGATGGACACCCCGCTCCAACGCAGCTCCAGGACACTGGTTGCTATGATGGAGAGGAAAAGCGCCAAGAACCATATGCTAGCAAGATTGCTGATCTGCAGGATTAAAGAAAAAAGGGTTTCAGGTTTCAACTGTCCAGGAAAGAAGTGTCGGCAAAGAGAAGCGAGCACCCTGCTGATTGATGAATGTTTATTTTCTGCTTACCGTTGGGATGATGAATTTTCCAGTCAGAAGACAGACTGCAGGAATGGTGCAGTAGGCAAGTAAAGGAATCGAAGTGAAAGGATAAACGACGGTGTTGATGTAAGCAAGCCTCTGAAGGAATTTCAGCTTGCCTCCCCAGCCATACCAGAGAGGGCAGTGGTGACTCATGAAAATTTCGATAGATCCCAGAGCCCATCTCAGAACTTGGTGCAGCCGATCCGACAAGTTAATGGGAGCTGATCCCCTAAAAGCTGCTCTCTCAGGACAGCAGTAAACTGACTTCCATCCTCGGCAGTGCATCTTGAACCCTGTCAGGATATCCTCCGTAACAGAACCATAGATCCAACCAACCTTTAAGAATGAAACCGAAGTTAATGTCAAGGACAATCACAAGTGAAAACAGTGGAAGAGGAAAGCACAAGCAAGCACTGTCTGTGATGGCACTGACCTCTTTGCCCCATTCAGTTTTCTCTTCATACCCACAACTTATGACATGGATGGCCTCCTTGATGAGAGATGAAGAAGTTGTTCCCTCAGGCAACCCACCTTCTTCCATCAAGGTCGAGGCGATGAAAACCGGGGATTGACCAAACCGTTTCTCAAAGTTCTTTTGAGACATAAGTGAAGATTTCTCCAACTCTTCATAGCCTTCAAGTCCTTCTTCGATCTCTTCAAGTTCAAAAGCCGGGATGGAACCTTTCCTGCTGTAGTGCTTCCCTGCCATTTTCTTCTTCTTTGGAAGAAGTCCTCCGAGCAGGCTTCTCTGTCCCTTCTTCTTAGATTTAGTTTTCCTTGAACGACCAAAGCAACAGCAGCACCATGAAGGCCAGCAATCGCATGTCATTTTGGGCCGCTTTTCAGACACTGGTGGATCATAGCCGTACAGAGCTTGCCTGTTGAAGACACATCCAGTCCCTACATAAACCGGCCCTTGGATCCCATCCAAGCCTTTCATGTTAATCTGAAATCAGCAGAAGAGAACATGACGTATGAGCCTTACATTTGTTGGGAAGAAATGAAAGACGAAGAGAGGAGGTACGTCCATTAATAATAGTACTATTTGTTTTTGTTTACTTACATCAAAGAATACCACATTTCTGTTAGCATATCTATCGTGGCGATCAATGCCATCGAACCTCTGAGGGAACTGAACATAACAAAGCTTCTTTCCAAACTGGGGATCCATCAAAAAGCACATTGCCTCCCTTGCAGCTTTGCAGTTGTTAAGATAATGATCACAATCCAAATTCAACATGAAAGGTGCATTGGTGAGGACTGCAGAGACTCGGATCTAGAAAAAGAGGAGCAAACAAGGTCAGTCGGCAATTTAATCAGCAACACAAAAATCAATTTTTCGTCTGCCTGGATGCATCAGATGGTGACTGTCTAGAATGGAACTAGCTATGTACCAGCGCATTCATGGCACCAGCTTTCTTGTGGTGCGAATAGCCTGGTCTCTTCTCACGTGAAACATAGACAAGCCGGGGAAGCTCCTTGCCTTCGACATCAAGTGCGCCTTCACTTCCAAGATAAACCTGAATCATTCCAGGATGATCACGGGTATTGTTTCCAGGCCAGGGGGTGCCATCCTGCATCACCCATCCTTCTTCAGGCTTCTTCTGAGCTTTGGCGACCAGTGCATTAATTGTCACCTTGAACTCTTCATACTCTCTCTGCAACCCCAAACAATCAAAGTTAGCCCCTTTAGTACCATTCATTCATGAAAGAAAGAAAGAATATGTTGACAACAGACTGCTTACTTTCATCGCCCTCCGCTCCTTCACAAAGTTCGGATGAACCTTATCTTTCAAATAATCAATCTTCTGAGAGAAATAGAACTCTGGAGCTCTTGGCTCAACATTGTGTTTCTTGCAAAATGGGACCCACCTCCTAGCAAATTCAGCTGTTTCTGACAGTGTGTCAAAGAGAAGCATTGAAGCACCATCATCAGAGACATAGCAGCTGACTTTATCAACCGGATAATCGACTGCCAGGATGGAAAGAACCGTGTTAGCAGTTATGATTGGTGGTTCCTTGAGAGGGTCCACTGTGCTGACAAAGAAATCAACCGGGGCTAACTTGTTTGGTTCCCCCTCTCTTTCAAACCTCAGAGAAAGACGATCAAGGTAAGTTTCCCGATTGATCGGGAACCATTTTGGGAACTGATCAAGGATCCAAGACAAGGCAAACCATATCTCGCAGACCACAGAGATGCCCCATAGTGGCATTGCATCATAGGCTGGAGTTAAGATGCGGAAACGGAAAAAGAAGCAAAGAATGATAAGCCTGAGGATGATGACAATGCGGTATGGGTTCACTCTGCTTGAGGGCATTGGCACCTTTCGCCAGAGTGGTTGCCTTGCTTCAGCCATTCTACAGAAAGATATATGTATATATGATTAATGTGAACTGATGAGAAGTCGATGGAAGCTACACCCAAGCTAACAAAGATTAGAAGAGGAGGAAACTTCACTGACAAGTATTCATCTTCTTCTCCTTGATCATTTCCTCCTCCATCGTCCTTGCTGACAAGACCTCTCTTTTCCTGTCGCATCTTCCACTTCTCCACTCTCTCTGTCCATTCTGCATTGCTATAAGCTTCTCTTTCTGCTTCAAGATCCTTACCAGCGACTATATATGAAGAACAGTAAAAGATATTAGTTTCAGACAAGAATACATTTCTTTCATACGAAAGAGGAAAGCAAGAGATTATCAGAATACAATCGGATTGAAAAGATAGCTTAAAAAGATTACCACTTCCAGTGGAAGAGAAAGCAGGGCCTCCTGTGTGCAGCTGTGGTTGAACGTAGTCCCTATTTTCCTGCAATGCAGAAACTCAGCCTCAGATCAGTAAAATCAAGCCACTCCATCCAAAGTCGAGATAGAAAAGAGACTGGCCAAGAAATGAGAAAAGCACAGACAAATCGGTGACTTACAGAATGAGCATCCACATCTTGGTGATTGGACTCCTCCTGATTATGATGCTTAATCGGAAACTCATCATCAAAATCATCTGCACCATGAAAATCATCATCCTCGTGATCTCCAGGTACCCTCGGAGAACCTGCAACAAGAAGAACATAGTATAACTGCAACGGTCAGGCAATGCATAAAAGGAAAAAAGAGTCAGTTCCGGAGCTTCAGCTTGTCTTTCAGAACATGATACGAAATGTTTCCTAGATAATGATTCATGGGGACGCAACAGGATACTACCATATAGAGAAGTTGTACCTCTGTGGCGCTTATAGCGAGTGTTGCACTGAGGGCAGCACTGGTTGCCATCACTTCTCTCGTACTCATAACAAGGCCTGCAAACGGGGAACCCGCAAACGTGACAGGCCACAAATGGGGCTCCATCTTCCTTCACCCCAATTTCATCCCCGCAGACTCTGCACGCCTTGGGAGCAGCCGAGTGGCGGGTGGGAGGGCGCTGCTGACGATCAACACAGGCATTTCATCAAACATTACGTAGGCATACACAAGACACAAACAAGAGAAAGAAGAACCAAAAAGGGTAGGAAGGTACTTACCTGTAAGTTGTCACGGTCATCATCATCACCCCCAGAGTGGAGGGAACGGGGAACCACGGCAATGCCAGCCATGGTGGACGAGAGATGGTGAGAGGAGGCATGGGGAAGTGGGGTTAATAAAAGGAGGAAGATCTGTTAATGGCGATGAAGGAAGGAGGAAGGAGGAAGAGTGAAGGAGATGGTGTTGAACCGATCTACCAAACTGTGAGGTGGGAAGTCGATGGCAGAGTGTGGTGTGGTGTGGGTTTTGAGTGGAAGATACGTTATAGCAGAAGAAATGCGGGTATTGGAAGCTTTGAGCTGCTGGCATGGCGATTAGATCCCTAGAAAAGGTGTTAGCCATCCTTTTACCCAAAAACTAGCTTCTTCTCTAAGCATTTTCCGCTCTTCTCAGTTTTTCTAACGGACGTAATACCAAACAACCAGAACATTATAAATCCCACTTCGCAGAAAGGATCGAAATCACAAATTTGTAGCCGATTGGGAGGATTTGTATGAGAAACTAAGCACAAAGTCGTGTGAGTTTTATCATTTGTGTTTAGTGATTTTTTTTCTTGTGCAATACAGCGTAATGAATGACATGGTTACTGAAGAAGAGACATCCGTGCATAAATTTATCATTTGGCAATTTCGACCTGACCCGTTTTACCCGATTTGTTTGGCCTGTTTGGGGTGGGACAGACATTAGTACTCTCATCGACTCGATATGCCCTAACCCGCCCCATTCTCGACTCGTTCTTGCCTAAATTACATTTAATCTTAGTCAAATTACTTAGAATTTTTCTTTTATTACATTATAATTTAGCTATAATAAAGTTGTAAATTAGTGAAAACCTCAATTTCTCTAATAATTTAACTACATTTATCCTAATATTGTTTGTTTTCTTAATCTTATAATAAAAATAACGAATATTTCTAATGTTTTTCATATAAATTGCATACTCATTGGGTCGACTTGCCCCAACCTGCGACTCGTGATAAATTATCCCACCTGGACCCGACCTGCCACGGGCGGGTCTGGGTACCAAGAAACTCGCCACGTACCTTCCCATTGTCATTTATAGTTATTGTATGCTCTTATCTTAGTCATTCCATGTTCTTTTAATCCTCATTATTTTGATTATTTTGATTTTTTTGTGTGTGTTAAAAACCAGCCTGATATTATGCTGAAATCTTTCAAAGTTATGGCTGGTAGTGATGGCAATGAGGCGGGGCGGGTACCTCAATACCCATCTCCCGCACCATGCTACTGCGGGTCGGGGAGGGTAAAACCCATGCGGTTACGGGGTGGGGCGACTAACTATTACATGTTATTTGAAAACAATACACGCAAATTTTACCTTTTTATGATAAAACGAATGGGAAAACACTTTATGAATGAAAAATAGTGATAATAGAATGTGTAAATGAGTCTAACAAGTTGAAAGATCGACTCTAACTAGTTGAAGAAAAGCCAAAATAGGAGAAATATGTATAGATAGCGTAAGAAATTGAGAATGAGCCAAGATCGGGACGAGGCGGGGCAAGACTGGTCGGAAGTAGATACACATGCCCCGCCCCACGCTACTGTGAGAAACTTCTTCTTCTTCTTCTTCTTCTTCTTCAGATTTCTAGGGTGAGAAAGTGACGAACAAGAGAAGAGGAGAAGTTAGGGTTTCATCCAAACTCCAAGATTTGGGGATTTCATCCTCAAAGGTTGATCTCCACAACAAAGAAAGAAGGCACCCCTCTCATGATGGTCTCTTCTTCTCCTTTGTGTAATCTCACTTCTTAGCATGGAGTAGTCCTTTCTTTCACTTGAGTGTTTGTAAACCCTAGCTAGAATTATGTAAGTGCTTGTATGGATTGAATGATTTGTGTGTGGTTGTGTTTTAATACGAGTTTTGAGGTACTTCATGAAGGTTGTATTTTGCATTTCCAACTCTTATGCTAAGAGGCTTGTAAAAGCTGTAATTCTTTGGCCAAATTGTGTCACCTACTTAGGTTGAATTAGGGCAAACCTCATAATACGTATTAGCACCTTGGGTATGTTGTATTTTGGCCGTCCGAACTACAGTTCGAGGGAGGAACCTAAGCTACACTTAGTCAATTGGCCAAGAGAGCTACCTTGGTATCTTGATTTGATATCGCTTGGCCTAGTGACCGAGAGAGTGAAACTTGTTCACTTGTTGCGCTCCCCTACGGTTTACAACCGCTTTGACCACACATTTGCATTCGATCCGACAGATTATGATTACTAGCCAAGGGGAGCACCATTCGGATGAAGCATTCTCAATTAGTGTTCAAAACCATTTACTTTTCCAATTGCTTTCAATTTTAGTCAAAGTTTCAACCAAAACTCGATTACGAGATAATGTTTCAACCAATTGAAGTAGGGGTACATGGACCGATCCGAATTTGACTTTTAAAACATACTTGTCCTATATTGCACCCAATTAAGATTTATATTTAGGTACTAATCAGAATTTTTATTGTGATATACAGAACGAATCAACTCACAGTTTTATTTGATTGAGTTTATTCTTGTCATGATTCTCTGTTTCTAATCTCTTGTATTATTTATTCAGTGCATCGCCAATAATATTATTTAGTCTTATCTTATATAATCCACCGCTAAGTTTCTTTATGAATTAAAAACCCTAATATTTGTCACTTGTGCAAATAAATGAAAAACAATAGAGAGATAGGAAACACAATTTCATAAAAAAAACAAGAAAAATGATTTCCACAAGCAACTGGTCTGATATAGTCACTGTTTTTCTGTTTGTATTGTGGTAATCCTGATTAAGAGTGTTTGTTTCCATTCCCTTGATGAATATCAGGCAAAATAGGAAAGTCCTCAATCAACAAACCACAGTCCACAGCGCTTAAGCAGTCCCATTTCATATGTTATTCAGAGTGTTGTTCCTTTTCCTGATTACAGAGATTAATATCTATTGATATGATGAAGAAGAAACTTTCCTTCATTCTGGGTAGTCCTTTTACCTGTTGCGTCCTCCTTCTCGGCCTTTTACTGCCTCCACTTCACACGGAGTGCCTCCAACATCCGGTCTTTGACGGTGAAGAATATCCAGCCTCCCTCCTCAATCGAAGTAGCTTTCCTCCTGGTTTTACATTTGGAGCTTCTTCTAGTGCTTACCAAGTAAAAACCCTCATATGCTTCTGATTTCCCCCGCCATTAATCTTCTCCTTCTTCTATAGTAGCCACTTGTTTGATTTGTTTTACACCTCTGCTTTCTTTCTTTCATTCTTTGTTGGGTTTCTTCCAGTACGAAGGAGCAACCTTTGCTGATGGCAGAGGACTAAGCAACTGGGATGTTTTCGTCAGAGAGCAACCAGGTCAGATGAGGCGACCCATTTCAATTTCACGGAAGATTTATATATGACATCCTTCAACCATCCAATCTGTGCATGTTGATCTTGTTGTGAGAATGTTAAAGTTTGCAACTTTCTGATTGTTTCTGCAATGCTTGTTCTTTGAGTTGACCGATTTGGAGGGGTTTTGTCTGTGGTGTTGAGGGCAGAAAAGATTTTGGATCATACTACGGGGGATGTAGCTGAAGAATTTTACTATCGTTATAAGGTACAAAAATATGACTTGGGAGAGAGATTTTTCTTGTAGTCTGCAATTTGCAGTTTTCACACCCACAGAGATAAATTTTCTCAGGAGGACATCAAGCTGATGAAGGAAATCGGTTTGGATGCCTTTCGATTCTCTATTGCATGGTCGCGTGTATTGCCTCGTAAGATCATCTTTTTGACTGTTCGTTTGAATAGTTCTTGTGGGTTGGAATGCATTCTGTTATCTCTTGATAATTAACAAGCAGGATTGTCACCTTACCAGATTATGATTTTGAATCATTTGTTTTGTTTTTCTAGGGGGGAAAACTGGTTTGGGAATCAACCAAAAAGGTGTTGATTTCTACAACGGCCTCATTGATGAGCTTCTGCTGAATGGTAGGGTACTATGTCTTACTTCTATTTCACTTGCTGTCTTTTTGAGAGTTGGTATGAGCCCTCTTCCAAACTTTAACTGCTGTGAGCCTGTACTTCTTGGCAGGGATAGAGCCCCAAGCAACCTTGATGCATTGGGATCTTCCGCAGTATCTTGAAGATGAATACGGCGGATTCCTCAGCTCGAAGATTGTGTGAGTTCTGAGGCTTATGTATATGCCAATCAAACCATTCAGGCAATCAACTTTACTGTGTCATGAACTCAATGGATCATGCAATCAACTGATCTTTTCATTTACCAGGGGTGATTTTCGGGAATATGCGGATTTTTGCTTTAAAGAATTTGGTGATAGAGTGAAGAACTGGATCACTGTGAATGAACCGAATTCAATTGCTGATAAGGGGTATGTCCAAGGCAATAACTCTCCTGGTCGATGTTCTAGCTATATGGGTAGTTGCACAGATGGGAACTCCGCCACAGAGCCATACATTGTGGTCCACAACATCCTTCTTTCTCATGCAGCTGCTGCAAATGTGTACAGTGAGAAGTATAAGGTCAGGAAAAATTGATACAAGAAACAGAATGTCAAGTCTTGAAGAGTAGCTTTTCAAATTCGTTGAAGCAAGCTAGCAGTTGATTTGGATTCCTGAACAGTAGATATATCTATTGAGTGAACTGACATTGATGTTGACCTAGGCTTCTCAAAATGGAATGGTTGGTATAACAATGTCGACCAGATGGTATGTCCCCAAATACCCAACAAAGGCATGCAAAGAAGCTGCCTCCAGAGCTCTGGACTTTGGCTTTGCATGGTAAGGCATATATGATGACGAGTATCAGACTAAGAACTGAAAGCCTTTGTAAGTGCTTTTCAAAGTTAGAATAATTTTGTAGGATGGCTCGTCCTGTGGTATATGGTGAGTATCCCGAGTCCATGAAAGCTCTGGTTGGAGATAGGCTGCCCAAATTCACAGAAGAACAAAAGCAGATGCTTAAAGGGTCTGTTGATTTCCTTGGAGTGAATTACTATTCAGCTTATTATGCAGAAGATGCCTCATCCTCGACTATCAACCCAAGTTACACAACGGATAGCCAAGTCAATATAACGAGTGAGCTGAGGAATCTTGACCATTGCCAGATTAGCAAGAGTACATATGCTATGGTTAAATTTGTACATGGTATAACTTTATTAATCTGTTTTTGCAGTGCACAAAAATGGAATTCCCATTGGTCAGCCGGTATGTGATCACCTCCCTCTGTTGAACACAAACATTAGACAGTCAGTATGCACCAACAGGAAGTCCAGTCTTATTGCTTGAGGACTTCCGCAAGAACCAAAATACCGAGGGTTCTTTGGAATCCTAACATAAGATGTTTGTAATAAAGGGGTTTGATTTTTGCAGACTGCTTGTGACTGGCTCTATATTTATCCGGAAGGAATGCTTGAAATTTTGGTATATGTGAAGGAAGAGTACAATGTTCCAGTCTTCCTGACTGAAAATGGTAAAGAATAGCACCACTCTCGAAACTCGAAATTCATGGTTTGATGGAGTCTTCCATGGTTCTATACTTTGACTTCTGCTGTTTACTGCTGTAGGGGTGGCCGATCTCAGCAACAACTCATTGCCTCTTAATGATGCACTGGATGATGAGTTGAGGATCAAATTCCACTTCCTTCATCTAAAATATCTGTTGGAATCTGTCAAGTGAGCGACTTCATCTGTTCTTTTTTCTATTCAGTCGGTGTGAATTCAGCAATGTACATTTGATGCATGTATTGAAGGCGCTCTGGTTTCTGCAGGGCGGGAGTTGATGTAAGGGGCTACAGTTTGTGGTCATTCCTTGATAATTTTGAGTGGGAGCTTGGCTACACAGTGCGTTTCGGAATTACATTCGTAGACTTTCAGGACAATTTGAAGAGATATCCTAAACGCTCGGCCCTTTGGTTCAGAAATTTCTTACAGAAGCAGAGTGCAACATCTGCTACTGCAACTCCCCTGTTGTACTCTAGTCAATAACTTACCATGAACCGTTCACACGACACATACATCGCAGCTCATGTTGTGCATTTGCATCTTATTTAGTACGCTCTTAACCATCATATTGGAACGTGTAAAGATCAGCTTCTAGCATTCATGTCAGTGATCATGAGTCTAAAAAGGAATCATTTTCAGGTTTCACAGTACTCTCTTTTACAGCCATCAGCCTGCTGTGAATACAAAGGCTACTGTAAAATCTAACAAGAGATCAGACAAAATTGATTCCAAAAGTCAACACAACTATAACACGAGTGGTTTCTTAGATAACATGACATAATGGTACTATTTTTATACTTCCTCATCTCTGTCTATCAGCAAACACAAATAAATATAGTGATGGCCTAATATCGATACAACTCAGACAATGGCATTGGCAGCACTAGCGATTCTCGGCCATAGATCAGCACATTCCTTTCCAATTGGCCCAGTAATAGCAGATCCTGCAGATCAACAAAGGTATGGTGAAGTTTATATCAGAAGCTGCCGGAAATGTACATCATTCACAATCTTGTGAAGAGTGAATTCAACACTCATCATCAAATGAGTTCAAGAGACCAACCATGCATATGGTACTACGGATATGGGAGTAAGATGAGCAACCACATTCATTCACTACAGTTATTATGGTAACCTATTCCAGAGCTTAAAACAAAATCATCTAAGCAGGAATGCCCAATGGGCGAGCAAAGACAATGCTAATAGAAGATTCACCAGGAGATGAATCAGAATCTGTGAAGACAATGCTAATAAAGCACAGTAGTAAACAGAAAGTTAGTAGTTGTTTTACCCTTCATTTCTCCTTTGGGGTTCACAATCACTCCAGCATTATCTGCAAGTGTGCAAAAGGTGCAATTTTAGGGGCCATTATGTTGAATATATATGAAATAGAAGGGCGAAATGAAACCATTGAGCATGCGGCAAGAGCAGAGAAAAAACCCTAAATACTGTAACAAACAATAGAAATCCTTTCACATTATCAATTTAATAGAAGCCAAATAGACCGATCTAAGGCACTACCAAACTCAATTCATTACTCATCTACAAGAAATCCAGGCACATCCAAATTCCAATCCCCAACATTGTATTCTCTTCCTAAGGTAAACTATGCAACCACCGAAGGAACCCCATAAAAGCAGTTTCGAAGCAGACCTATAACTAGCAGTGGCTTAACAACGCCTCCCCAGTGTGATAAATGAGCGGTAGAAATCGAACTCGAAAGGAGTGTGCCAGCAGACAGGTAACACAATGCAGCTATACCCACACATTATGCTGTTTAAAACTGGCAATTTCTCATCAATTTATGCTTCGTTATTATCAGTGGCAAATTCTCAAACATGGCCACTGAACTATTATCAGGAAGCAACAAGAGAAGTGCTAGCTAGCATAACATTAATACATTCAAAATCAACCCGAAACAAAGGGAAAGCAAAAAGACACGAACCTTCGAAGTACATGAACACACCATCCTTTCTGCGCCAGGGCTTCCGCTGCCTGACAATGACGGCAGGCATGACCTTCTTCCTCAGTTCCGGCTTCCCCTTCTTCACTGTGGCCATCACCATATCCCCAACGCAAGCCGACGGCAATCGGTTGAGTCTCCCCTTGATTCCCTTCACGGAGATGATGTAGAGATTCTTCGCACCGGTGTTGTCGGCACAGTTCACCGTCGCCGCCACCGGCAGACCGAGGGACATCCTGAACTTGTTTCCGGCGCTTCCACCCCTCCCTGAATAAATCAAAAAAAGATGTTCAACATACAACAATGGCGAATGGGAGAAACCAAGCAAACAACCGAAAGGGAAGAGCTCCGATCTTGATCTTGTATTTTTACCTCGCTTCGACATCTTGCCCTTCCGCCTTCGTCTTCCTCTCTGCTACACCTTGCTTCGGACGGCACTCCAATTCCGTTTGTTATATATGTTTGGAGCTACTACACTAGGGTTTTCGACGATTCATGCCATGCTAACTGAAACGTCGACGTTTGCAAGGAGAGACGGTAACGGCGCCGTTTTATCTTCATCCCTCTGTCTAAAGAAAGTAGGAGAAAATCGGGAGGAGAAAGAAAAAAAGCGGAGCCATGTCCTTTATCGGCGCTGCTAGCTGCTGCCATTTCCCGATAAACTCCGGCGCCGTCATCGGCGATGCCAACGCCGGTACTCGATTGATCAGTCCGAGGATGTCGATGAACCAAAGTCCTTCCCAGCCTCCTAACCAGGCGACCCTCCTCACCAGCATCACGAAGCTACTATGGGGTCCATCTCTTCCGCCGGGGCTGCTCATCTCCACCGTCCGTACGGGATGGAATTCGGCCTGGAATCTGATGATGGCCCAGCTCGCTCCCTCCGATCCCTCCGGCAATTACTCCCGTCCGGCTTCCAAATTCCGCCTCAACAGCAGCGACACCACGAACCCCCAATTTTCTCGCGGCAGCCTCCACCTGTACGTCGGCCTCCCTTGCCCGTGGGCGCACCGCACCCTCATCGTCCGAGCATTGAAGGGACTGGAAGACGCGGTTCCCGTCTCCGTCGCAGCTTCCGGCCAGGATGGGTCGTGGGAATTCCGGGACCGGACTCCATCTCCGGGTGCGGATTTGGGTGTCCTCGTCCCCGGGAAAGATAACGCGAATGGATGCAGGACGTTGAAAGAGGTTTACGGGCGGAGGAAGGGCGGGTACAGCGGCCGGGCGACGGTGCCGATGCTGTGGCACTCGGAGAGGAAAGAGCCGGTTTGTAACGAGAGCTACGACATCATCGAGTTCTTCAACTCGGGCATGAACGCGCTGGCTCGAAACCCAGAGCTCGATCTGTCGCCGGAGCCGTTGAAGGGGGAGATTGAGGAGTGGAATCGAGTGATCTATCCCAACATCAACAACGGCGTCTACAGGTGAAGTGGGTACACCAACAATTTTGCGTGCAAGGTGTTTGATTAAATGTCTCACAGGGGGGCCAGTTCAATTGTTTTCCCTCCTCTCCCGCAGATGTGGATTCGCTCAAAGCCAGGAAGCGTACGATCGAGCTGTGAACGGTCTGTTCGCGACGCTGGATAGAGTTGAAGATCACCTGGCGAGTTCCCGTTACTTGTGCGGGGAGGCGCTGACGCTTGCCGACGTTTGCCTGTTCACCACACTGATCCGGTTCGACCCCGTGTACAATGTTCTGTTCAAGTGCACCAAGAAGAAGCTGGTCGAGTACCCCAATCTCCATGGCTATATGCGGGAGATTTACCAGGTACGAACACCCATGTCAACCTGTTCACGCTTTGGAGCGTGGTGATTCTTTCATGCATATAGGTCTCATATTTTTTTTGCTTTGTGCAGATGCCAAAGGTTGCAGAAACCTGCAACTTGGGTGCTATCATGGATGGCTACTACAAGACGCTGTTTCCACTGAATCCAGGCAGCATCTGCCCGGTGATGCCATCGGGGTCCGAGATCGTGAACCTATCGAAGCCTCACAACAGAGAATCGCTGTCGGCTGTCGTCTGTAGATAAGAGAATTACGGAACTCTGCAGCCTCGCCTGTCTGTAACTGATCATTACCACGCTGCAGGCATCCATTTACAATAGTTGCTTTTGTGTTCATAGAAGATGAACTCCACACTGAAATGAATCCGTCCATTTATAAGCTCGGCAGTGAGTTCTGTCTTGTTAATGTACTTTGCGAAAGGCACCAGACATTGGTGGAGTGATACCTTGGTATCACCAATGATAAAAGCTTGCTCACCAGGCAGAAAGCGCTTGAAGCTCATATAGCCCCGGACTTTGACCTCTCTTGACTTGTCAAACTACGCTATCGATCAGAATTTCAGTTGTTTGCTCTTGCTGATCAGTGAACGTGCACGATTACATAGGCTGAGATTAGAGAAGCTCTTAAGGGTCTAATCCGTGCTTGGAGACAAGGCTATCATCGGAAAGTTATCTTAAAGCTGGGCTCAATAATGGCCTGAGAATTTCAACGACCAGTTGAAATCACGAAACAGCACTCCAAGATCGTGGAAGCAACGAGGGCGGACGAGGTCAAAATCCCTCGTCACGAGCGTCAATTCCCCGACCGGGGATCAAGAGTGTAGATCGGGGATTTCAGACAGACCGAGCTCTCGGCCAGGAGAACTGCATTCCCCGATCGGGGAACGGATGTTGTCTGAGTTCGGGTTACCTTTTGTGTTTAGAATTCTTTTTCTGTGTTTTTGCTTAGTTTTTGTTTCCCTGGTCTATTTAAAGGGCTTAATTTTAGGACATATTTTGATGAATTGGAAACTTCATTCTTGATTCGTTGAGCTTTTGGCTTGTGAATTGTGCTTTGACTCGATCGAGTATTGCCCTTGATTGTGGTCGAACTTCTGCCCTATTTTGATAGTCTTATTCCAAGTATGAGATTGTACTTCAATTTCGTCTTATCTCTAATCCTAATTTTGTTCTTAGCTGCGTGACTTTGACGACTATAAGTATTGATCTCGCACTCGTATCAGTTGAGAGATGAAAGTCGCTCATATCTATTAAGAGTGTGTAATAACTAATAAGGCAATTGATTATCTCATCACTAAAGAACAATTTGTTGGTTTTGGTACCCTTGTTTTAAAACTCCCAATCTAAGCATTCACTGTTGACTTTTGTATGTATGTTGGGCAATCTTGATTAATTTAAGTACGAAATAAGCATGCCCTGGTTTTCCATAAATGAAAAAAGCGGCAGCGGGTATACCTAAAACAAACGTGTATATACAACACGTCACATACCAAAAGCTTACAACAATAACAACATTGTGTATATTAAGGACGATCAATCATCAAATTTAAAAAATTTATTATTCGCATTTGTCTAATTTAACATAGAATTACACCATGACATTTTTAATAAGGATATTATATTTTTTTTTATTTTATGAATAAGGATATTATAATAACTATCATCTCACTTTCCTTTCCTCTACGTATTTATTGGATTTTATATATAAATTACAATTTTTGTACCTGAACTTAATAGATTTTAATATTTAGTGTTTGAAATTATTTTTTATAGATAAATTCTAAAAATATTGATGAAAATTTTCATTTTAGTACCTAAAAATTTTCCTTACATTTTGAAACCTGAAGTTTCAAAATTTATAAATAGGTCCATTGTTATGAGGTTTTCAGTATGTTTTGAGATGCTTGTGGTCTGCTTTATGAAGTTTCTGGCATGCTTCATGGGACTTCTGGTGTGCTATAAGAAACTTTTGGGTATGTTTTAAGAAACGTGTTGTATGCTTTAATGAACTTGTGCTATATTTTTAGAAACTTGTGGTGTGCATTAATAGACTGTGATATGTTTTAAAGAACTTTTGGTATGGTTTATGAGACTTCGAGAATGCTTTAGAGACGTGTGGTATGCTTTATAAGCTTTCTTGTATTTATGGTGTGGTTTATGACTTTTGTGGAGTGGTGAGGTTGTGGTATTCTTTCTAAACTTTTTGGTATGCTTTATGAATTTTGGAATGTGGTTTATGACTTTTGTGGTGTGCTGGAGTTGTTGCATGCTTTCTAATTTCTATGGGTTTTTTTCTGTGGTGTGGTTTCTTGCATTTGTGGCTTGTGTTTGCTTGTCCTCCCCAATTAATACAACCCTTCCTCATTTAATGAACACACATATATTGATCCTCCCTTCCCCGATTTTTCATTAAAGATCAAAGTGCCCCTCTCTGTCCATCTCCTCGTTAATGGTAGTCAAACCATTTAAATTAAAAAGTAATTAAAACAAAATGTTTTTATTGTGTGAAACTAGTGTTAGTACCCTAACATTTCCCTCTACTTTAGTGTTTGGGCTAAGAGTATAATGATTTTATCCTTTCATAGTATTGTTGGGAAATTTTTTTCTCTTTCTACAAATGTAACATCATTTTAATACTTTCCATATTTGTGAACATATAATTGCTGGAAAGAATCTCTCAAATCAAAGGAAGATCAAGAGAAGACTGTTGCATCAAAGAAAGTATAAATAGAATGAAGCAACAAGACAATCATTACGGAATGTGCCAGAGCAATCCTACACAAAGCAAGATCAAACACTTTGTGACTAGTAATAGGTGTTAAAAGTGATAGGAGTTCATCGTTTGTATTGCTCGAGTGATTGTGAGTTGTGTAGTTTCTCTCTTTAGAACAAGTGCTTGTGAATTATGATGAAGAGAGAAAAATGTTTGTTGCTCTATTCTTGTCAAGGGTATGAATTCCACCCAAAAGGACTTAACTTGGAGTTAGATTGGAATAAGATAAAAAAAAACCTAGACACTAAGTCTCAAAGGGTTAGCCACCTTTGAGCCAAGGCGTAAAGCAATAGTTGTACTCGGTTAACAAAACATTTCATGTATGTGTGTCTCTCCTTACTCATATCTATTGTGTTTTTGCTTCTCAACACGAACACTAACTTGTCTATTCAAAGTTTAAAACGATTGGATAAGATCCAAAGCCCATCTCGTGAAACTCTTGTGCTTTAGCAATGAGTCAAGCCCAACACACAAGCTAGACGACCGGTACATCATTAATCGTGTTTATGTATCTCATTTATAAGATTATTTGTGCGATACACTTGTTCTACAATTGGTATCAGAGCTGGTCTCTAACACTAAACAAGATCCAAGGATGGAAGCTACAAGATCATGAACCAAAATAATGAGTCATCTTCTTCCAATGACGCAAGCTGAAGGACAATCTGCAACACCACCACCAAAACTCGACAGTAATAGTTATGCCTTTTCGAAATGTTGCATGGAAGATTTTCTGCAAGCCTATGACATGACGGTATGGATCAATATAAAAGAGGACCGAAGTAAGTTGAGAATGACATTGGTAGTTGGTTAAAAACATATAAATTATGATTATATGTAGTTTAGTTTATTGAAAACATAGTTTTAATAAATTAGTGACAAAAAATAGTTTTATTTGTGGTTGGTTTTGCTAGAATATTTTCAAGGTAAATTAAACGAATAAGCGGAAGATTGATGATGTGGATGCCAATGTGGTTTCTCATTCTTCCAAAATTACACGAGTAACTGATACTGCACGATATTTGTGGGATCTTGATCGCAATATTCTCTATTATTATATACCAACGTACGAGAAGAAGGGTGAGAAAATGAAAGCTCTTGACTTTTTTTTTATCAATTGAAATGTATTTGCAAATTTTAACTTCTTCTTTTGTGTCCTTCAAAATTTTAACTTCTTTGTCACTTTGTGTGCTAAAAAATTAATAATTTCTTAGTTTATATCTTAAATGGTTGATTCGATTCATAATTATAAATCAATAAAGAAAGTACTATAGATAGCTCATTTAATAAAATTAAATTTTCATAAATAAATGAAAGATATATAAATGTGAAACAATATATGAAATTTGGTAAGTGAGATTAACAATTCAATGTATAATAGTTTCACATAATGAATCATAAATAAAATTATAATACAAGGACGAAAAATATAATAACCAATCAAAATTTGCCGCCCAACGGGCAGGTATAAAGCTAGTTAGGATAATGATCAATCTCGCAAGAGGAAGGCCTAGCCCTCAAATCCCGCTTGATGGAAGATGAAGAAGAAATAGAAGAACAAATACTAATTCTTTCAAAGAAACTAGGGTTTTCGCGATTCAAAAGAAATCAAAACACCGATTCTAGAAGATTCAACAATAATACAAAGTTTTATAGAAAGTCCGACAATAGAAACACTAGTAAAACTGAAGGATACAAAAATGCCATAAACATCGAGAAAGATACTGTTATTTGTTTCAGGTGTGGAAAACCAGGCTATCTTAGAGTCGATTGCCCTCACAATAAGTATGATAAAGAAGGAGCTATGGCTGCCACTTGGAGCTGCAGGGAAGAAGGATCAGATGAGTTAGGATCCGAAAATGACCACCAAGGCTACATGGAGCTTGTAGAACAAAATCACTTCATACATGCATAGACTATGATTCAGATTATTCTTTGAATTCACCTAATATAAAAACTAAGAGTCAAAATGATAATACTCACAAACACGACCTCAAGGAGAAACTAAAAAGAACAAAATGTATGTTTAGTGAAATTATGAATAGTATAGACGAGCTAGAGAACTTTCTAGAAAGCCTCACTAAACGAGTAATTCAACTGAAAGTCATCATTTCACCAACTGGCATCTTTAGAACTCCACCCCATTTACTTGTACAGAAAGTCATCATTTCACCGTCCTATACTCCTATTTCACGAAACTAAACATGGTTTAGCGCATGCCTAAGGATTGAAGGTTGAACATTCTTGACATTAACTCGGGTAAGCTGTCTATCACGATTGGGTTTCCTTACTTCCCTCTCTCTCTCCAACTTGGTAAACTTGCCGTCTCTAAACCTTCATAGCAATTACCCCAAATGGTAATCATGATTGACGTGTCCCCAAAATCTCTTGCCTCTTTCCTTCCCACGATTGGATTATCTTCCCCTTAAAATCCTTTTCATCTCCTTAACCTTTTTTTACAGATTATCTCTCATCCAAAATGTTTCCTCAACCTTGAACTTTCTCACAAGTTTTCCATCTATTTCTTGTTCAAATCATCTAATCACTAAGGGGTCGTTTGCTTCAAGGATTTGCATCATGGATTTGGTACCAAAAAATCAACCATCATGGATTTACACAAAATCCGTTGTTTGCTTTGTCAAAAAATGTTTAGATAAATCTGTGGGCCCCACGGATTTGGGTTTTTTTTAGCTCCAAATCCATGGGCCCCACGGTTTTATAAATCCCACCTCATACCCTGGGATTTGGAGACAAGTTGAAAAACCATGCCTACCTCATCAAATCCATTATAAAAATAGCTCAACAAACAAAGGATTTCCTCAAATCCATAATGACCAAAATCCCTAATAAATCCCAAGATTTTTAATTAGCAAATCCATGACAAAACCCTCGTTATAAAATCCTTGAAGCAAACGACCCCTAAATTTTGAACCTCCTTCGACTATCATGACAAAGACGATAAAATCTCTTACTTCCTCAAAATGTTGATTGTCGCTCAATTCAGAGACAAGCTGACTACTACGAGTTCTATTGCTAAATCACCATTCTAGCAAAATTAGAGTTTCCATTCTTGTCTCATCTTTCTTCTGAAGTTCACTAACGGAACTCAACTTGGAGTTAGATTGGAATAAGATAAAAACCTAGACTAAAGAATAGATCTCAAAGGGTAAGTCACCTTTGAGCTTGAGACGTGAAGCAATAGGTCGAACTCGGTTAACAAAACATCCTATGCACGTGTGTCTCTTCTTACTCTCCTTTATTGTGTGTTTGCTTCTCACACGAACATTACCTTGTCCATTTAAGCTTGAAGACGATTTGATAAGGGTCAAATCCCATTTCGTGAAACTCTTGGACTTTAGCAATGGGTCAAACCCAACACAAGTCTATTTGACCGGGCCATAATTAATCGTGTTTATTTATCTCATTTCATACGATTATTTGTATGCTACACTGCGTGTTGTAGGATTATCCCTAGTTAAAATATCTGATAGATGAATTATATGGAGATGTATCAGAAAAGTTTAAGAAATAGTTATAAAAAAAAAAGCTAATCCAGTAATCCTAAATTACTTTTGCGTGCACAAATTGATAGATTTATTTGGCATTGTAATTAACTAATTATATTGAACATGTTTAGTTAAAACTAAAGATGAACTATGACGGGACGGAATCCTTGTAGCATTCAGCCGGAAACCTCCCTCTCCTTGTCCGGAAAAGAAAAGGGGGGAAAGGAAATCAATTAAAAGGGGGGCAATTTTCCGGCATGAAACCCTGCAGAGCGATTCCCGTCGAGTTTCTTGCTTCAGCGCATTTCAACAGAGAACTAGAAGGGGCGAAATCGGCTGCGAATCGCGCGGCACCGTTGTGGAGGAGGTCAAGATGAAATCGGCACCGCGGCGGAACACCCTGGCCGGGTACCTGGACCAGCTGGCCGACTCGGAGAAGCACAAGGCGCGGGCGAGGGAGGCGGCGCTGGAAGGCATGGTCCAAGAGCTGGCCAGAATGCTGAAGCGGGACGAGGAGTTCCTCGACTCGAATCGGATGAGCTTGGTGGACCAGTGCCTCCGCGTCGTCAAAAAGGGGCGGTCGGCGGCGGAGCTCTTGATGGCGGCGCGTGCGATTGGGCTGGTGGCGATGATCCTCGATGACATGGACGCTGCTCACGAGATCTATCGCGATTCCGCCCCGAAGCTGTTTGACGCTGTGAAGTCGAGCAGCTCCAAGCTGACGATGCCCGCTCAGGTCCTCGAGTGTTTTGCCGTCCTCACTTTCTTCGGAGGATATCTCTCGGAGCATCGGCTGGAATCAATGGCCATGATTTGGGCCTGCTTTTTCCACGATTCTAGTGACGATGGCCAAGGTACCTGAATTTTTTTTTAATACCTTTTTTACCCTCAATTTTTATTCAATTTTTTTTTTTACCTGTCGAACGCTTTCACAGGGAAGAAGAAAGAGCATTCACCAGAACTTGTTGCAGCTGCCGTATCATCTTGGTGCTTCATTCTGTCCAGCGATCATTGTGGTATCAGCCGAGCCCACTGGCTAACAGCAATTCCTTGCTTCTACCATCTTCTGGGCCACGACAACGAATCCGTCGTCCTCGCAGCAGCCGAGGCACTAGCTCTCGTCTTCGAGATTGATTCGCTCATGAGTGTTCCCAACTCTGCTGCTGTGGACGATAATGGAACACACGGATCGTCTTCATCATCGTCTTCTTCATCGTATCACCTATCCAAACACGACATTGCTAAAAAACTGAACGAGAGGGAGAGGATGCTTGCGATGGAAGCAACCGATGATGATGAAGAGGGAAAAGAGCAACAAGAGAACATCGCGGCTTCCAGGCTGGCGTTGGTGGCTAGGTTCTTCGAAGAAGGCAGCTCTTGCAAGAGTTTGGAGGCGACGAGGAAGGAGGGCGTGATGTTGACAACGTGGTCGGAGAGGTCGCAGATGGCATTTCTAGAGGGATTTCTAGGAAGAGAAACGTTAGCAGAGCACATCAAGGTGAACAAGCAGTTGCAAAGTATGTTCAAGTCGAAGATGGCGACGAAGAAGAAGAAGCTGGTTGGTGAGAAGCCGACGGTTATGGCCTATGACGTAGAGAGGGAAGAAGTGAAGTCTCGTCTTCTCTACAAGCCAGAACTGAAGTGGAAGCCCGACGAGGATGGCTCGCTATATACCGAGGGGAGCAAGCAAAGGCTGATCCAGAAGAAACTCACCCAATCGCCTGCTTCTTGGTTGAGCAAGGCGAGGACTCAGCACATGAAGAAGCTGCGCCAAGTAGCAGCTACTGACCGCAGCAAGAACGTAATGGATCCCGACTACGACTAACTCCACAAACTGACCCCAAAACTCCTGCAGCTTTCTTTCCTTTCCAGTTTCAATTCTTTTTGTGTTAAGCTGTTAGTTTCTTTTTGTTTCCTTATCCATATTAATTTATGCATTGATTGATTGTTTTTATCAGCAAAGTAACTAGTCGTTTAGAATTATAACGATAATCTACGACTTCAGAGCTCAGTTCAGAGTAGCAAAACACATAATGGCCATGCCTGAGGAATGCCGAATGTACAGATGTCATAACCAAACAAGATTTACATTGGCTAAAATCAAATCCTAACTCCTAATTTCCTAATAAGCACCACAGATAAGAAGACTGGAAAAGATGAGCACCAACTCGGATCAGTGTAACCATCTTAGCCCCCAAGGATGAAGGCTTTGCAAATTGTCCGTTTCTCGTCCCATGATCACCTGGCCAGAGGCCTCGATCCTGCACCAACCAATGAGATACATACATATAAGGATGTAGAAGATGCTACAATTAGCTGACTGAGTTTGGTCTTGCCTACTAAGTGGGGTTAAGAGTTTCTGTTTGGTGTTGGAACCGATGTAGCACCGGGGAAGTGGGGGAAAGGCAATAAAGATTTCAAGAAGCATATGGCCTTACTGTGATTGTTAAGATTTCAAAAGAAGAACTTACTGCTTGGTCGCTTCATGTTCCTGCAGAACTTGCTACCACACTTGCACTGAAATTTCTTGTTGGGTTGATCATTGTCATCATCGAAGTCGATGCCATAATCCTGCATGGACCGAACATCAATTCTTCAAGAAAAAATCCAATGTGGCAATGCAACAATATGAAAATAAATTATATTTTCTAAGATTCTATCCATGCAAATAAAGTGTTGGGTTCATTTGTATAGACCCACGCACCTAGCGAAGAAATAAATCCCCCCGCCACAAAGTAAAAAAAAAAAAAAAACTGAGGAGAAGAACCCTCACTTGCTGAAGCCAGGCAATTCTCAGCTCAGGTTACTAGTAATATCAGTAGAACACCAGTAGCATGTCGAGAAATGAAATTGCTCACCCAAGTCAACTCTTCCAAGGCATCCACCTCTCTTGTTGTGAAGAAGGCCAGCTGTGAAATATCATCAATAAGACATTTAAGCTTTGAGGTGCAACTACAAAATGTGGTGTCATTACATGAATAAAGTAGTCTGAGCAAAGCAATACATACGTGATAATAGTGATGGTCCGGGGTTTCAATCTTAACGGGGATCTCAATTAGATTGGCATCAAGGCACCTTGCAGGAAAAAAAGAAAATGATATTTGCCAGGTTGGTTAACTTTAAGTGGATAGCAGCAACAAATCCAAACATGTAGGTTATGGAGAGAAATGATAGGAAGTCAGAAAACAAAACCATAGGAAGAACCACAACAATGCAGTAAAAGTATCCATGAGATAGAAAGAAGTACCTGTGGTTAATAAACCTGGCAACATTACTATAGAACGACGCATCCAAACAGAGATACTCTTCATCCTTTAGAGTCCCTTTCAAGTTCCAATACGCATCCAACAGAACTGAAGGGGGGTTCTCAGTCTTGGTAATACTTGAGTTTTGCATGGTTCTCTCATGCCGTTCTTTGATGGTCAGAATTTCTCCAATGTATTCACAAACAAACGCACCTTTCGGCAGTTTCTCCAGGGTTTTAAGACCCCATCCCTTTCCATCAGTTGTGAAGAAAACCTGATGCCCAGAATCAATCATTCAGGCAATACATCAAAACAAATAAAAAAATATATTAAAAGAGTGTGGGATTAGAAGGCCCCGAACATACCTGCAACTTGCGCCTTATACCTCGTTGTACTACTCGATTTCCACACTGCTTATGACAGCCACATTTTCTCCAGCACTCCTTTATAAATTTCCTGTTCAGGTGACCTTTGCATGGCTCTAACATTTCTTCATTTCTGGATCTCTCCAATGGGCAATCCATACAGGAGGATATGGATTGTAGCTGCGGATCCCGAGTCATGGAGATGCATTCTTGCAGGAAGTCATCTTTGAGAAGACCATCTGGTGTGTATGCAAACCCATACAGAGTTTCAGCAACACAAACGCAAGGAGATGATGAAGAAAGGCAATTCCCAATACAAGATGTACAACAATGATCTTCTGTGATCTGAGAAAGAGTGAACTTGACATAGGCATTTTGAAACACAAGGTTTCCTGGTATATAGTGAAAGGATGGTGGGCACTCATTGTTGACTTCATTAACCCATGGAATCTCAACTACTTCTTCTCCCTTAGTGATGTCATTTGAGTCATGAAGAGACCTTAACTCATCACGACCTGTCTGATATCGTGGAACGACTGCTAAGCTGAAAGATTCGGGGTCTCCTGATCTTGATCCAAAGCCATTTACATCACCACCATTGGGGATCACATGCTTACTCAAGGAATGAACCAACTTTGGAACTTGAGGCTCTGGATCAACAGATACATCAGATGGGGCCTCGTTATTTCCATCGGTACCCACAAGGCAAAGAGCAGTAGAAGCATCAGAATTCTTCAACTCATAATGTGTTTCACTGATTACCCCCCTTTCCTGCGATTCATGAGATGAATCAGTCGCTAATTCCACGAAGCACTGACACATATCTTTCATAAGTTGGATGAGAGAAAAGTTTGGATCAAGTAATTTATGCCGGAGAGATTTCTCCTCCACTGATTTCAGCAGTTCATCCAGAGTTGGCATGTGAAAATCTGGCCTTCCAAACAAAGGTTGGCAGCTCAAGGATATCTTCACCTCTCCTGAAGGGGATGAAGCGATTTCCAAGTTAGAAGAGGGCTTGCTAGTTTGGTCTCCAAGATCAGCAGTATTACCATTGCTCGAATCTGCAGAAAATAAAGAAAGTGATTCACTCGTTAGGAAAGCGTCTAAGAAATTTAAATGACAATATTGTAGGATGATTTACCAGGCCCTATTACTGCAAGAGGAAGCTCGTTGAGAGGCATCTCCTCGGTTACTGGCTCATCTTTAGGTACAATCAGGGCACTGATGTCAGGCAGTTTTCGCTTACGTGGAGAACCAAGACGTATGGATTTTTCTCCTGAAGCAAGGTGCCTTTTATCTCTAGCAGGATCCTGAGATGACATAGGCTTTTTTCCTTTGTTTACGAGCTGTTTCTGAGGCAAACATTGTTCCGATGGAACAATTCTGTCAGTTACTTGTTGCTGCGATGAACTTCTCTGTGCAGACGAAGGCTGGCTGGCTGCACTTGTAGCAGCATGTTGGGGAGATGGACTTCTCTGCGTGGAACTTGTGGAAGGTGGATCTGTATCCTCCCGTTTTGGCTGCTTCAGCAAAGTTCCATTGGTTTGGGGGCTGTGGTTTCCAGATGAAGGGGACACCATTCCTTCTTGGTCTCTTAAGCGCAATGGACGAAGCCGTTTTAGTGGTCGTGGAGGAGGTTCTTCATCCTGAGCATCTTCCTCAAAACTTTCCTCCTACATTAAGGGTACCCACAGGAACACATCAATTCAAGAAAATAAGAAAGATTTTTTTTTTTATGAATCTGCACCACAATAACAATATAACAGTGAATCCAGACCACTTACATCGACCGGCTTCTTGTTTCCCGATGCCTGAGTCAACATGCAAATACCACACAGCAACATTAGAGTCAACAAAGAGGTGAGTAAAAAAGAAATTTCAGGCTAAGAACTAGGGGGGAGCATGCACCTCCTGCTCCTCAAGAAGAGCATCCAGAAGAACCCGGTAGTTATCTTCTTCAATTAATGAGATCTTTTTATTGTACAACTTCAGAAGCCTTTTCAATACAGGCTTCACTGCATCGTCCGTGAATCCCATCTCCCCCATTGTCTGGAAGACTTTAAGCACTCTGGGATTTACCGGCATGGTTGATTGGCCAAAGAGATATCCCTCACTACCAACCTAGCACCATAAGAAAGTAAAGAGGGAAAAAAACGAAAACTTAACCCCAGTGTTCCCGTTCCAAGTTGAAAACCCTCAATGCCGAATTGGAAGGGGGAATCAACTGAAAAGAATCAGAGACTCAAGTTCGATAAATAAACATGAAAAGCAACGACCTTATATAGCACATGCGAACACAACTGCAACTCCCACAATTTGAGAGACGGGTCTCAGAAACCCTCATCCAAATACAAAAAGATTCCAATCCCGACCCATGAAAATCACATGCAGGTCAATAGAGTGGACGGCCGCTTGAATTTTCGCGTTTGCGGAGAAGAGAAAAATAGCAATGTGGGTCGGGAATCAACAATACAGAAACCCTAACGCTGAACAAGGAAACGAAGCGGGAAAATGCAAAACCTCGGCACGGCGGAGCGTCGGAAGCAAACGAAGCGGTAACAACAGGCAAAAAGGGGAACACACAGAGCGAAGGGGGCTACAGTCGAGAAATCAAAACAGAAAAGGAAATATATTCTATGAGGTGAACTTACAGTAGTAGAGCACAGAGAGGGTGGGAGTGAGAGCGAGGAGCCCAGCGCCCGCAAGTCCCAAGTGAGTGAGTGAGTGAGTGTGTCGATCACGCCGCGGAAGCAAGGGAAAAGGAAATTAGAGTGGGAGGGGGAGGGAGAGTCGGAGAGAGAGTGACAGGGCGAGCGGAAGCAAAGATACTAAGGCTAACTCCAATGGAGCCTCTATATTTGGGAGAGCCTTTATATTTGGGGGAAAGTTAGCTCCAATTGAGCCTCTATAAATAGAGGAGTCTCTATATTTGGGGGAGATCTCCAAAATGATCCCCAAATTTGGGGTGGAAATGGGGGTTCCCCAAATATAGAGACTCCCCAAAGTCCGCCACGTGGCGTTTTTTTTTCTTTTTAAGATTTTAAGGGTTAATTGGGGCTTAATTAGGAGATTAGTTAGGGGTTTAATTAGATCAATAATTTTCAAGTGTTGTGTGTAAACCCAAATTAGGTCAATCATTTTTTGTCAAAAAAAATTTGGTCTCAAAATTAAAAAAATTTCTACCGGAAAATTTGTATTTAAAAATGATGACGAACTATACAAAAATTAACATGAACAAAGTATATTAAGACTTCGGTAAGTACATTTTTAAGTAAATGGAAAACTAAAAAATGGAGATCTCCAAATATAGAGGATGTAGCATTGGAGCAAAAGAAGGAAAAATGGGGATGACCCCCAAATTTGGGGATCTTCATCCCCAAATTTGGAGGCTTGCACTGGAGTTGGTCTAATACATTACCAGAGCTGAACGTACGGGGGTCGTTTGTTTCAACTTTCAACGAAAAGAATGTTAAAAAAAACCCATAAAGTAACGTCCCTTAATTTTCAATTATTTTTGTATGTATGGAATTTTGGGAATTATTGTACTTTTACTTTTTCATAAATTCACTTACATTTCGAAATTATGACTACAATAAAAGTTGTAGTCCTTAAAAAATTATGCGAAATCAAAAAAAAATTCATGAAGTTCAGAGTGTGGAGCATAAAGTTATGGTCGTCCAAGTTTGACAAAATCAAAACATTGCTAGTTCGGAGTAGCAAACGACGTTTTTTTCCGGGACGAAGGCAGACCCTAACTGCCTACAGAAGTTTGTAGTTTGTAAGATCTCGAAAAGTTACAATCAACAGCTGTGGGAGTGGGAGTGGAAGTGAGTAGGGGTGGAAATCGGTACGGTATCGGTATCCCAATACCGAATACCGAATTACCCCCTAAAATCAATCCCAATCTCATTCCCTAAATAATTTCAGTATCCCAATCTCTAAATATTTGGGTATCCCAATCGGTATCTCGGTATCCCAATTGGTATTATCGAATGCAAAATTAATTATCTTTGCAATTAACAATTAAATATATAAATTCGATTTGATTGTTTAATTTAGGGCAAAAAAACTAAGCAAAGAGTCTTGAGTTTTTCTAGAACTAGGACATGGATAGGGAGAAGGGATGAGAGGTGACAACTCAAGTTCTTGTCATTGGCAATCTTTAATTCGACAAATTGGAGGTTGAGAGACGACTAATACTAGGGTTTTCTTATTGATGTTATTAAAATAACAAGAGATTAGATGAGAGACGAGAGTGACTTAAACTGGAAAGCCAAAATTGAGTTGGATGGGGACTTGTGAGTTATGAAAGAGTGGGGAATGATCAAAAGTTGTGTGCTATATTTCATTAATTTTTATTTTTTGGTTGTTTCTCGGTATTTCGGTATATATCGATCTCAATCCCGTAATCCCGAATACCGAATATCACTCCAAAATGAATCTCAATCCCGATCTCTAAAAAATAAATCGGTATTTGGTAATACCAAATACTGATAAGTTCGGTACGGTGTTTCTTGCCTAAATTACATATTATCTTAGTCAAATTACTTCGGATTTTAGCTATAATAAAGTTGTGAATAAGTAATAAGACTCTATTTCTCCAATAATTTAACTACATGTTATCATATTATGGTTTGTTTCTTGGTCTTTTAATGAAAATAACGAATAGTTCTAATGTTTTCATGTAAATTACATACTCATTGGGACGACCTGCCCCGACTCGCGCCCAGTGATAAATTACCCAACCTGTACTCGACCTGCCATGGGGCGGGTATGGGTGTCGAGATACCCTCCCCGGACCTACCCCTTCCTAACCGTGTGAAATTGGTTTAAGTCGTTGAATTAGTCAAATAGCTGGTTTGAAATTCAATGATCTAATGAGAGCCTAATTTGTTTGAGCCATTGAATAATTTTTTACCTAATCCCTTGGTTAGATGAATTTTGTTTTATTTTATATTGATAAATTTCTTCATATTTTTAAATAATTTTGGGTTTTCAAAAATAGTTAATTCATTATTTCAAAGTGATCTTAATGGTATTTGTTGATTATGACATTAGCGGTAATTAGTTAATATATTTTTTATCAAGTTGTCATAGTTTACTGTTGTGTATATTTTTTTTTCATGTCGTTGAAGAAATTTTGCACTTCTTATTATCTGATATCAATTCGGAGTTGGAAGGAAATATATATCATTTACAATTTATAGGAATTGAAGGTATTTTAAAAAATTAATGGAATAATGAAAAGGTTATGCCTAGAAATCTTAAATATGAAAAACATGAAAAAATAATTTTTATTGTATAAGCTTGCTTGAATAATAAGTGGAGTTGTTAAGTGTTAGATGCTAATACACACAATAGTTAAGAAAATTCAAATATTGTAAAACTCTAAATTCTACTCTATTAATACAATTTTTTGAATTTTCATGTAGAGTTAATAGTATAAATTGACACTTTATTATTGAGAAACATGGTACTACTTTCACATCAAACATGCCCGTTGTTACAATTTCTCATAAAATCTGTTAAATGAGAAACATGGTAACTCTCAATAATTAATACACACAATCCCATCCTCCATCTGTTCCACTTTCTCTTTCTCCGACCCAACAACAATTAAACGCATTTTTTTTGTCTATCACGAAAGAAGCTTGAAAACCGACATTTGAATTTCTACTGAACTCTCTTTAAGTCCTCAATTATTGATCGATTTAACTCAATCATTAAAATTTGAACCCATTTTTTTTTTTAAATATGGATTTCAAAGTATCAAAGGTTGTCAATCGGTTTAGCCCGTTGGCCTGGTCGAGTAAGTGAGTTGAGGGTTGATAATCCAATAATTTTAGTCTGATTTTGCCCAAATATATGAAAAAGTCATTATATTGTTCATACATTTGTAAATTATATAAAATCTTATATGATAATATTACATACAACTACTCCTGTGGTTTCAGATCACTATGGTCTAGTGTTGATTACTGATCCAAAACTAAAGGCCCATCCAAAACCATTTAAGTACTTTGTCCTCTGGCAGTCTCATCCTTCATATTTGAATATCATTAAGGAGGCATGGAAAACAGAAGTGTAGGGTAATCCCCATTATATCTTTTATGGTAAGCTGCGTCATGTACGATTGGGACTGAAAAAGATGAATCGAGAAGAGTATTCAAACATCTCGGGGAGGGTCAAAGCTGCTGCTGCAGCATTAGAGGAGGCTCATGTGTAGTGTTCGACAATCCTACAGCTGAATTGATTGATTTTGAGAAGTAGAAAAGTTTGGATTATTTGGCTTTAAGGCAAGCAGAAGAGTCATTTTATAAGAAAAAATCTGGATTCCAGGTTATTCAACAAGGGGATGCTAATACTTCCTATTTTCATAAACAGTAAAAGTAAGAACTCTATACAAGGGCATCACTAAGTTGCTTGCCAATCGTATTGTTGTGGTGCTTCCTAATCTGGTCATTTTATCACAATCTGCTTTCATTAAGGGTAGGGCTATTAGTGATAATATCCTGCTAGTGTAAGAATTAGTGAAAGATTACCATAAAAAGAATATAACTCCGAGATGTGCTGTCAAGATTGATATCATGAAAGCATTTGATTTAGTTAATTGGGGGTTTCAGTTCAATGTGATGAAGGCAATGGGATTCCCCTCTGGTTGTCTTAAGTTGGTAAAAACCTGTGTGACAACTCCAGTTATTAGAGTAGCAATTAATGGAGGTCTTTGTGGCATTATTAAAGCATGCAAGGGATTAAGACAGGGTGATCCACTGTCCTGCTACCTATTCACAATTGCTATGGAGGTCCTTGACTGTCTAGTGAAGAAAGCAGTATTAGAATGTCAAATCCCATTTCATCCTAGATGTAAGCCCCTGTTCATCACTCCATTTGTGCTTTACGGAAGATCTTATGATGTTTACTAATGGGTAGATCAGAGGTGTAGCAGGGATAAGAAGGCAATGGAGTGCATCGAATTCCTCATCAAGTCGCTCCCTCACGTGTTTGCACAAACAAAGAACCTCACAAGTCACTCCCTCACGTGTTTGCACTCGATTGAGATCACTCATTGTCTTACCACTCGTGTTTCACTCAACAAAATTGGCTTTTACCCGAAAATGAATTCACAAAGCCTCTTTCCACTCTTACTCTGAAACCCTAGGTAAGAACTTTTCACTTCTCAAGTATTACAATCAGAAACCAATCAAGAACAACACACGAAATGACTTTCTCGCGTGATCTGACCTAGTTCCCGCCTTTTCTTTCCTTTGATTTTCGTTTTTTTTTTAATATATGAATGACTTTTTCCAGATGCATGTTACAATCGACAATGAAACTGAGAACAAGAATTGAAAATTTAGCCTCTCTTGGCGCCGATTAAGAACATAAACCTGATTCTCACACAAGAAAGGAGGATACTTGTATCACTATGTTGAACTGCAGCTCTGATACCACCTAATATAAGTCGAGGCTCTAACTCCTAGACTTAAATAATCAGAACACAACAAAGATCGATTAAAGCACAACGATCACAAAAGCGAAAAATAACCCAAACCAAATCCACGAGTCGGGAAGAGGACCAGGTATACGAAGGACTATTCGGCTAGGGTGATGAGCTAGCAGAAAACGTCAGTCTCCTCTTGCTGAATGAGGGTTTCGTATGGTTTTGCTGGGAAAATTGATTGAAGAGGGAAATGGTTGGAAGAATATTGGGGGAATGTGGGATGTATGTGAGTTTTTAAAATCTCACATACCCACAATTCCTAATATTCAAAACTCTTTCCAAGCATGGTATTTTGTCAAAATCCACATTGTGTGAGATTGTGCCAAAATACTGCACTGAAAACCTCACCCAAATAACCCATTGGAGTAACCATACGATCATGTAATAAGACTATCTAAGATCGATTATAACTTATATCAAATTTTCCTTCCTTTTGCATCCCCACCCCCAATATTCGGCTGGATCAGTAGGGCAGTCAAACCAGTTACAATAGCAATTCTGTCTATTTATTTGAATGACTAGGTATGAACCAAACTGTTGACATGATATAAGATAAACCGCTCAGCTTTGACAGGTTAATTGGTTCAATATTTTAACCAAAAATTTTGAGAAAAAAAGATTTAACATAACTAAGGCTATCCAACCTTAATTATTAATTTTACGTGTTCCACTATCAATTGCCACCTTAAGAATTCTATAAAAAAAATTCAATTTTCACTCCTCCAAAACTCTTTGCCTCTCAGCTTCTTTAGCGCTTCTCCTGCGGCGATTATGATTTCTTTTAGTGATTGATAAATTGGATTTGAAAAACATTTCATCGATAGTGATAAATTAAGTCTTAAATTAATGTACTATATATGTCTTTTATGTTCCAGCGCATGAACGGGTCAATTCATAGTTAATCAAGTTCTGCAATGATTAATTGCTGAACCATAAACCACTAAATTTTTCAGTTCTCCGATCTAGTTTTGTAAACACAGTCCCCGGTAGGGGTGGGCATTCGGTCGGTTCGGTTTAAACCAAACCGAATTAGTATATGTCGAATTTCCGAATTAGCCTGCACCCCAACCGAATTCAAACCGAGCTATATTCCGTTCAGTTCAGGTTACCTACCTATCCCGAACTTCCAGCCCCCTCCCTCAAATCTCTCTCTGCCATTAATCCGCCTCCCACTCCCACTTTCCTCTGCCCGTCAAACTACTCCCTCCATCTCCCTCTGCTACTTTCCCTCAAATTTTTCTACCATTAATCCTCCTCCCACCTCCTCCTCTTCCTTCTCTACTCTCCAGCGCCGTCCAGAATCACCGTCGACCAACTCTCCCTTCCACTCCTCTCTCTCTTATCTTCTCTCCTCTGCGACTTTGACCGCTGCGAGGGTGGAGAGAGATGAGGCGCGCCGCCGTTGCATGCCACAATGGATCTGGAATAGGGTGTCGCCGCCGCCCGCCGCAGACGAGGCGCCCCGCCGTTGCATGCCGCCGTGGATCTCGGATAGGGTACCGCCGTAGACAACGACATGACACAGCCAATATCGTGAACGGCAGGAGCATATATAGATCCCGCCTTAGTAAATCCATTATGTTTTTGTTTAATTCAAATGTTTTGTATGCTTTTGCCAATCTGTGATTTTGTTTTTGGTTGGTTTTCTGAGTTTGGTCGGCGATGAGAAGAGAAGGGAAGGTGATGCACTCCAGTGGCCGGCGAGAGGCAGCCGTTGGCGGCAGTTCATGTACGGCAGGGGATGGCGAACGCAACGAGGAAGGACTTTGGAAGAAGAAGTGGAGGATTTTTGGTCTGGGCTAGGGTTTTAGTGGTAGACTAGAAAGAGTGGGCTTGGGTTGTATGTGTTTGTGGGCTTCTAATTGTTGGTTGTGTGTGTTAGAGTGGGCTTGTAATTGTAGGCTGTGTGTGGGAGTCTGGGAGGGGGATGAATTTCGGTTTGTTCGGTCGGAATTCGGAATATCGGGTTCGGTCGAGCGACCCTGGTTTCCGAAGTATAGAGTTTTGCCTTCTGAATTTCGAACCGAGTTACAATAGTTTGGTTTCGGTTCGGTTTTGGTTCGGTTCGGGTTTACCGAACCGGATGCCCACCCCTAGCCCTGGCCCAACCAAACAGCTCAACTCCAAAACGTCTGCGTTTCATGACTATTCAACCTAAAAGGCTAAAACCCTTATGCTTCCAATAAATCAACGCAGAAGATCAGCTGTTGTCCAAAACCCTTCATCCTTGAACTCAGCTTTCGCGAAATCCCTAGCCACATCCTAATTCCACAGTCCGCCAATTACCATGGCCTCTCAGGCAGCCAGAGGCGGTGTTTCGCTCCCGGAGAAGCGTCCTCCCAAGCGTCAACAGCCCGACTCCGACACCATCCTCGCGAAGCTAACCAACTCCGAGATCGTCTCCAAGGGCAAGCGAGCCGCGTGCGACACCGCCTATGTCACCAAGAGACTCCTCCGCAGCACCGGCAAGGCGGCTTGGATCGCCGGGACCACCTTCTTGATCTTGGTTGTGCCGTTGATCATCGAGATGGATAGGGATCAGCAGCTGACCGAGCTCGAGCTCCAGCAGCAGAGTCTCCTCGGAGCACCGCCGGTTGGTGCGCCTCAGAAGTAGTGGTCTGCCCGCCCCCCTCATTTTGAGTGTCTGGTCAGGTTAGAGACGCGGTTCATCGGATTATGTTGGGAAATTGGGAATTTTGAGCTGAATAATTGGCGGTATTAGTCGTGATTGTTGTACTATTATGCTCATACTTGATCATAATGCCATTCCATGGTTTTGCAAATTACCTTGATTGCCTTGTCCCTGTCGACTAGTGATTGCGTTTTCAGATCCCTGTGGATCACTGTTCTGTTGGTTTGAACTTTGAAGTGAATGTCAAACAATGCGTAGTACTTGAGCTGAATTTGAATGTTATTTCAGTTGATTATAGGTTTCGGATAAATCTTTTCGTTCGTTCTATCTTGTTAAGTTACGAACTTGACAATGGCGGCGCTGATCTTTGCATTAGTTTAGCAAGCCTGTTTTTTATCAGGGCTCAACTGCTTTACGATCATGATTGCCTTCATATCCTTGTGCATCAGTGTTGGTGTGAAGGCAGTACTTGAGCAGACTGCTGCGGATGGATGATTATCCTAAGTGAAGACTGGACAGTGACAGACTAAATATGTGCTTATGAGCCAGTTCATACTCTAGGTTTCCTTTCCTAACAAGAAGCACAGTTATCCATAGCTTGGTGAGAAGGCCTCCATACCAAATTGCTTGTAGAGAAACATATCTTGATTATGGAAACTGTCTCTGCTGCATTCAATTTTGTTGTTCAACCCATCAGAGATGCTTCCTTTCTTGAAGCGGAAGAGGTCGGAAATCATCGACTTTGGATTGTGTTCTCCTCTTGCAAGGTTCTTCTTGGTAAGTTTGGAGGATAATCTGAAATCTAGATGCAGAGGTCTGAGAAATTCAAGTATTGCGGGTTGGTTGCCTCTCTCTGTGTTGATTCTGTTTACTGGAAGGTCCATGCGGTTTCGATTCAGCAATTATATTAGGTCTGGTCAGTATGAGGTCTGCTTTACAGCTTGTATGCATACTGATGAATTGCAGATTGACCCTTGTTGATTAAGCAGTCAAAACTCTACACTGTGGGCATGTACTTTTCTTTGTTAGCAATCATGGTGGACTTGCTAAATGTGTAGAGAAGTGATTGCTAATATTTAACAATTTCAAAAAGTATGACTGCTAACACATCAAAGTGGGGGTTCGGTTTGATTGCTAACAAAAAACCAAGTATAATCACCGTGGAAGACTACAATAAAGTGGGTTTGGTTTAATTAGACTGAATACCGACAGGCGACCAACCTTCACTTGTATAGAATACTAAGAAAATTCACATAACTCTCCTCTATTTAAAATAAATTCCAGTATTCTCAAATAACTGAGGGTGGGGGTGGTATTTACAATAACTAGTTTTTGAGTTATTTGTAAATAACTCATACCATAATAACTCATCACACTTTTGTACACCCAAACGAGTTATTCTGATTGAGTTATTTGGATCAGAATAACTCATGCAAATCACTCATCGACCCCTTAACACGCATCCTCAGAACATGTTCCAAAGCAGCAGGGATGCAAGTGTTGACTCCCCCTCCAATCATGGATGATTACCAACCTGATGAAAGATGAAAATGGAGTTCAGTTCGACATCTTGTTTTTGGAACTTATGGAAGCAGCGCAACGAGAAAGTAATGGAAGGATGAACCTTATCCCATGAAGGTCTCCTACATCGAATTAAAGTTTGGTTTAATATTGTTAAACATCCAACTGTCTGTGAGAATAGTGCAGCATAAGGGTTGTTGTTACTTGTTAGCGTGGAGGACTGGTTATAAGAAAGTGATGCTAATTTTGAACTCAGCTAAAACTGTCGCCATTATAAAGAATAACCAAGACAACAATCATCCTCATGGTCTACTTACTCATGAAATCAATCAATCATGAATTTTGATTTGGTGGTTAAAGTCCCCCATATCTTTAGGAGATGTAATTATGCTGCCGATTTTCTAGCTATAAATGATTATGTTTCTCCTTTTGACACACATCAATTCGATGTAATTATGCTGCCGATTTTCTAGTTAGAAAGGGTCATGTTTCTCCTTTTGACACACATCAATTCGATGTGTGTGACCTGGAGTTTTGATATTGGTTGTCCTATGATATTGTTTTGACATACATCAATTCGATGTGTGCAACCTAGAGTTTTGATATTGGTTGTCCTATGATATTGTAGGTATGACCCAATCACGTTCTATACTAATAAAAGCTCAAGACGCTTATTGCGTATGCCTTTCTAAAAAAAGACATAAAAGGCAGTCTACCATGTTAAGCCCTTGCACAAGAGTAATATGACTATTTATTCAAAACAAAATCAACAACAACAAAAAAAAGTTGTAATATATTCTCTGATGGATAGTGGTCTAAACGAGCATGCACCTCCAATCCTATAGGGAGGGCCGAATTTAGAATTCATGCATTTATAACACCGTTCATTACACAAATGACTAATTGTTAAAATTCTTTCAAATCAATGTATATTTATGATTATAATTATAAATAAAGGATAAATACAATTTTGATTCGCTAAACCTTTTAAACTTTTTAAATTATTAGCCAAATATTTCAAATATAAAGTAATAGCCAATGAATCTGATAGGTCAAAAGCGTATAGCTTCAATTCCTATCTTGTAGTAAAACCGGAAAGTCCGGGTATCGTCTCTCAGGGACTGGTACAACCTTATGATTTATCAATTCTTTCGAGCAAACTATATGTGAAAATGTTTAAGAGATGAAATTATTAACTATTAGCAAAATAGTTAAACTAATTAAGCAAAGTAAACTTGTCGAGGAAAATTCAATGGGAGAAAGCTCTGGGAGAAACACCGGGATTCACTACCTATCCTATCCAGATTAATTCACATATTCCAATCAATTTAATCCATACCTCTACAGCCAGGATATCACTACTGTGCTAGCTATCCCTGTCGGGAATTACTACGTACTAAATAATCAATTCAAATCCTACTGTCGTAGCTCAATGAATTAACTATATAGCCTGAAGATCGATATCCTATTTAAGACCGCATAGCACCTTATTTAATCCACTGTCGCTTCGATAAGTTACTATGTCACATGAAATATGTTCAGTTAATAGGGTTTCACTGTCGCTAATAGCCTAATTAACTACAAATCGTTGTATTGGTGGCCAGTCAACACAAAGCATTAAGCAATTTCATGCAATAGAGATTGGAAGAAAAGAATCATAAATCAATCCATCAAATCAAGAAATAGCTGCATCCTATGGTGTTTCCCCCAGAAATTGGGGTTTAGTTCATGACGAAATTAAGATAAATCGATAGGGTTTTGTTCATCATGTTCTAAAACAACAAGAAACAACTAATTAGGTTTAGAAAATCCAACCAACTAATCGCTCTCGTTGAACTCAGCTCAAGTAGCCTTGGAAATCTCAATCGCCGATGGGAATCGACTGATCGCTCGATGCGTGCTGCTGCCTTGCGCTTTCTTTCTCTTCCCTTCCTTCTGCCAAGAATTCCGCCCAGAGAAATTAATTTTCTGGCCCTCCCCAACTGCTGCGCGCTTCTTCTTTTCCCTTTTGCTTTCGTCCCTTTTACAAGCTGCTGCCCCCTTTTTTTTTTTTTTTTTTATTTCCCTCGTTCCCCAAAAGGAATTCTTCTTTTTGTCCGCCAGCAAAACCAAAAGCCACCGACCCCAAATTAATTCCAAGCCCAAAAGCCATTTCCGTCCGCCCAATCCTTTCTTCTGCCTTCCTCTCGTATAATCTTGGCCCGGCCCAAATTAATTCTTCCTGAGGTGGGGTGATTTGGGCCCAATCAATTGTTCGTGCACTCGCTTCTTTTTCGTGCTTTCTCCACCTGTAACACATCAAACTCATGGCACTAGGCAGTAATGGTTTTTTAACCATTCTCGGGTTAGCGAGCCCTAAAATAGCACCAATTGGCTAAAACATACCATGGGATAATCACATAAAGTCCAAAAATTCAATATATTAAAGCCGAATATCAGAATCCATCATGAACCAGAGCGAGATGTGAATGTGCTGCAGGACTTAATGAGGAATGACTTACAAATGTTGAAAATTTTGTAGCTGTTTGTAGTTAAATGTTAGTAGAGGGGGTGGTTAGATGAGGATCTTTCTCTTTTGTTCTTTCTTCAAGGTGGTCATAATGGCAGCCCTTTCGTTGTATTGATTTTGCGAATTGCAATTTCGATTTACTTAATACTAAAAGGAAACTGATTCAACGAAGAAAAAAAAGTAATATCCAAATCTTTTGTAAAACATCATAACACTAGCCATATGTCTCGTTAATAGTTTTTTTAAATTAAAATTTTGAAATGTTAACCATCATATTCTTCTTCCAACTCAACATAATGTTACCAAGTCATCATTACGAACAGAACTGCTAAAGTTGAGTTAACATTTTGTTTGTGCTCGGATTGTTCCAAGCGGTTTGCGAGACTCCACTGGCATTGGGCGGCTTCGATGGTCGAGGGCGGTCTCCGAAATCCTGCAGAAAAGTCCTCAGGGGGTTCCTGGGACCTCCTCCGATGCTTAAGTTAGAGAGAGAAGTGAAGTGTAAGTAAATAAGAGAGAGAATGGAGTTGGTAGAAGTTACCATAAATGTGTCCCATGAGTGGGTATTTATACTAGTGAATGTCGGAGTGAGGATAATTAATGCCCTGTCGGGCGTCCAAGGTCGCATAAGAACTTGTTCTCGGGAGGTTGTCAGGGTCGTACTTTTGTCAGCCTCCGTACCGAGTCAGATGGGTGTCCGTTTGTTGTTACGTCGGACGGTCCTTTACTTCTGTCGGGCGGTCTTGCCATGCTCACACAGGAAGACCGCCTTGGACCCATTTAGAGGCTCATTGCCCCTGCTCGGGCCCAAATCGTTTCTTCATGGGCTTTGGGTGACCATGGGCCTGGGGGCCCAAGTGCCTCAATATTTGGCCCAACATTTGCCCCTTAGGCGTAGGAAGCGATAGGTTTTTGCGGCTAAATGATATTTTTTGCCAATGTTGAGTGGCTCTGGGCCGCCTGGGCCGTAGCATCCCTTAAGCGGTTACGAGCCGCATAGCATGTGATTCCCTCGTTGCCCCTAGTCGCGGAAGCGTGGCGCGAGGGCATCTAAGGGGTGGGAACCGCCTCAGCGCTCGTTTGAAATCTCAGCTTTGCCACGTGTTCTGCCTCGGGCGCGGAGCTCTGACACCGGCAGGCGGAACGTCACCTCTAGGGGTGTTCCGTTCTCGGGCTTCGTGAAAAACGTCCTGTCAGGGCGCCCTTTTTTCCCTTTTCGCTTTTAAGTAGGACTTGGAGGAAAATCCTCTCGTCATCCTCCCCCAATTTCGTGAAACTCCTCGTCTTCTTCCCCTTTCTTTCTCCTGCAGAAAGTTCAGAGGTGGTTGACCCCGGCGCCTATATATTCGACGTTCCCGGTGAGTTTCCGACTTGGTTTGTTAATTTGTTGCATGCGATTCGACTTCCCTGCTAATTAGTTTGTTACGTTTGTGGGTGGTGTCGCGACTTTTGGGGTTTTGGAAATCGCCGATTGTGGCCTGGCTCGCCGTCGACAGATGTCGGGCGAGAATCCTCCATCTCCGATCAGCGAGGCGAGGCGAGATGCCTCGGCCGTGGGGAGCGTTCCAGTCGCTGCTCTCGACCCCGCGGTGGTTTCTGGGAAAGGGCCTGCTGCTTCGGCCGCGACCTTGCCTTCTCGAGGCGCCGGGAAGAAGGTCGCGGAGACCGCTCCTGGCATTCAAGGTATGAATCATTCTTCTCCCGTTCGAAGCATGTCTGAGTGCATATGGGATTTGTCCGGGTTAGAGTTATATGTTGGAGATGGATCTGAGTTGAGGGACTGCCTTGTCGGGGCTTGTGTAGACGTAGATAATTTGCATGCTAACCTCCGCCCTGTACTAGTTGGGGTTGTGGCTACCTCGTCCGCGGTCGGGGATAATCTGAGGGAATTTGATCGGGTAGGTTTAGATAGCATCTCGCTGGATGATTCGGAGGAGGTCAATAGTGATGGAGTGCGGTCTGGGACGCATTCGAGTGCCTCTTCTTCTCTAGACATTTCGGAGAATGGAGAACCGAGGCCGCCTCCGATTGCCACCAGGGATTCTGTGTACACTGTTCTTCGTCATGCGGGCATGTGGGGTGGAGAGCCCGTCCCTAAAGAGGTTTTCGAGCAAGGTCCTCCTCACGTGGCGGCCTTTAAGCCTGAACAGGTGCTATACCGGCTTAAGTCGTTGCGGATGCCTTCAGATTGGCTCTATGCGGTTCCGTCTGCAAGGAGCCGCATCGGATCTTGTCCCCGCGGTTGGATCCCGATATTGGTCGAACATGTCAAGCTCGGGCTGCGGTTTTCTCTTGACGACCTTATGACGCGGATATTGCATCGACTGCAATGCACTCTGGGTCGCCTTTCGCCTACGATTATCTTTCATTCGATCATGTATCGTTTGGCGTGTGACCGTCTCAAGGAGGAGCCCTCGTTTGATGCATTCAGGATGATTTACAACATTAGAGACTCGACTAACTGTTGGTCGATTGGGAGGCCGGAGAACTCGGTGGGTTTCGTTACTGGGGCACCCAAGCTTGATTCGCCGTGGTACAAGGAGTACTTTTTGCCCGCCCTTCATGGAAGTGGTATGCGGGCGATGCAAAACCGCTCACCGGTTATGCGGTTGGGTCCAAAGATGAATGTTGTGAGCCTGGTCAGTTTCCTCAATCGGTACGGGACCATGTGGCGAGGATAATAGAAGGCGTCCAGTTTCGCGTGCAGCATAGTGGTTCTAACAGTGCATACCAGCTCGTCCGCGGTTTTTATGGTTAGTAATGTGTTTGTGGATTTGTATGCT